AATCTCTTTTGTGAAGAAGTTCCTGATTTCATTGAACTATGTATCTGTATTTTCTTGTAACTTGTTGAGTTTTTTTATGATAGCTCTTTTGAATTCTCTGTCATTTAGATTATAAATTTCTGTGCCTTCAGGATTGATTTCTGGGTGCTTGTCATTTTCCTTCTGGTCTGGAGTATTAATATATTTTTTCATACTGTTTGATGGCTTGGATTTCTGCCTCTGCATAGTGATAGTATCTGGTCACAGATGCCTCCAGCCACCATTGTGTGGGGGTCAAGAGCTGTGTATTCTGAGCCCGCCACAACCCCGGCTCACTCACTCACAGCTGCTGCTTTTCTATCATATGTGTGGGCACTCTGGCTGACCAGCTGAGCTGGAGTGCCAGGCAGAGGGAGGGGCACTTTCTTTCACCTGCGTGATCCTGGGGGCGTTCTCATTCTGCCCTCGCTATCTGCTCTCCTGGGGTGCTAGCTTGATGAGACACCTCTGCAATAGCTTAGTCACCTCTGTGTGGGGCTCTCCCATGGGCTGAGGGAACTTGGAGAGCTTAGATGTTCCTGTGGTGTGCCACCCCTCCCGCCTTTCCTGTCATAGCCGCCTGCAGTCCCATGCCCTGCGTCGCTGCCGTTTGGGGAGGGAGAGGAGATCCCCTTACCTCCTTCCACTTGCTCTGGGGGCGTCCAGCACCTTCACCTTCAGATGTATGGCTGCATGGGTCTCTCAGATGTCTTTTATGTTGTGTGAATGTCCTCTGTTGGTATATGAATGTTCTTTTCGTTGTATCTTAGGGGAGAGAGTCTAAGGAAAGAGCTCACTCCGCTGTGATGCTGACCTCACTCTCACTTTATGTTGTATTTGTCTTGAATTACATCCATAAATATTGACAACTTTTGCTTTCAAACGTCACGTATCCTTTAAAGAGCTTAAGAGGAGAAAAATACTCTTGTATTCACCATTTCTGTTGCTGTTTGTTCATTCCTGAAGTTCCAGGTTCCCTCTGGTATCATTTCCCTTCTACCTGAAGAATTTGCTTTAAGCATTTATCTTAGAGCAGCTCTTCTGGCAGCACATTCTCTTTGTTTTCCTTTACCTGAGAATTTTATTTTGCCTTTATTCTTTTTTGTGTGTGTGTGAGGAAGATTGGCCCTGAGCTAACATCTGCCAATCCTCCTCTTTTTTTTGCCGAAGAAGACTGGCCCTTGACTAACATCCAGGCCCATCTTCCTCTACTTTATATGGGACGCCACCACAACATGGCTTGACAAGTGGTGTGTCGGTGTGTGCCTGGGATCCAAATGTGCAAACCCCGGGCCGCCGCAGCAGAGCACACGCACTTAACTGCTTGTGCCACTGGGCCGGCCCCTTGCCTTTATTCTTGAAAGGTATTTTCACTAGATATAGAATTCTGGGTTGACAGTTACTTTCTTTCAGCACTTGAAAAATGTTTCACTGCCTTCTAATCGGTACGGTTTCTGATAAGAAATCCATAGTCATTTGAATTGTTGTTCTCTCATATGTTATGTTTTTGTCTGGCTGCTTTCAAGGTTTTTACTTTGTCTTTAGATTTCAGCAGTGTAATTGTGATGTGTCTGGGTGTGAATTTCTTTGTGTTTATTCTCTTTGGGGTTTGCTGATCCTCTTAAATCTGGGTCTGTCTTGCCAAATTTAGGAAGTTTTCAGCCATTATTTTTTCGGATATGTTTTCTGACCAATATTCTTTTTCTTCTCTTTCTGGGACTTTGATAATACGAATATTAGACATTTTGATATTACCCCCACAGGTCCCTGGGGCTCTGTTCATTTTTTTTTCCCTCCTCAAAACCCCAGTACGTAGTTGTATATTCTAGTTGTAGGTCCTTCTAGTTCTTCTATGTGAGCTGCCGCCACAGCATAGCTGCTCACAGGTGAGTGCTGTGGTTCTGTGACCAGGAACTGAATCTGGGCATCAAGTGGTGAGAGCACTGAACTTTAACCACTAGTTTATCAGGGCTGGCTCTCTGTTCATTTTTTTTCCCTAGTCTTTTCTTCTCTGTTTTTCAGATTGGATAGTTTCTATTAATTGGTCTTCAAGTTGACTGACTTTTTTCTTTCTCATCTCCTTTCTGCTTTTGAGCCCACCCACTGAATTTTTAATTTCAGTTATTGCGTTTTCCCATTTTAAATTTCCTTTTGGTTTGCTTGAAGCTTTCTATTTTTTCCCTTCATTTTAAGAGTGTTTGTCCTTACTTAGTGGAAGATGGTTGTAATAGCTGCTTTAAAGTCTTTGTCTAATAATCCAACATCTGTATCACTGTGAAGTTGCTGTCTTTGATTGTCTTTTCCCTTATGAGATATAAGATTTTCCTGACTCTTTAAATGTCGATAAATGTTGAACTGTATCCTAGACATTTGTATATTTTGTTATATGGCTCTAGCTCTAGTTTAAATCCTGTGGAAAATGTTGACTTTCTTTGACTTTTTTTGTTGTTGTTGAGGATATTATTGTAGCAGCCAGTCAACCAGGTTAGGTTCAGCCTGCAAGTTCCTACTCATCTTCTGCTGTTTAGGGTCAGATTCACATATGCATAGTTTATGGATGAGCCCAGGAGTTCATATACAACTTTATGGGATTATTTTCCTGAGCTCTCTCTTCTTTGAAATCTCCCCAACACATTCTGGCCCTTAGCAGCTCCATTTTTTGGTCATCTGGCTAGAAAGCTGGGATTTTAGTTTCCCTGCTCTGCCACTTCCCATGACTGTGTTGTCTATCTGTGAGGCTAAGTAGCAAGAGGATAGAGAGTGAAAAAGCAACAAGGATTCTTCCTATGTTCTTGGGACCACAGTTCCTCTAGTCAGAGAGAAGGGTTCCCCCTCCCTTGGAGTTTTGTGTGGTTGCCCAGTCACCACTGCTCTCACTGCCACCACCACTGTGGAATTGCCGAGGAGCTGGAACAGGAGAGAATGGAAAAAACAGACCAACAAAAAATGAGATTTCCCCCATTCATTCTGATCTGTAGGGGTCTCCTTTCCTGCTCCCCAGACTAGAAATATAGGATTTATCTTAGAGCTCTTTCTCTCTGTACCCAGTGTGCAGTTCTGGCTTTCAGATTGCTTTTGATTCCAGGCCAAGGGATATGGGAGGGAAAACAAAAACAAAATTCATTACCAGTTCGACAGGCTTTTGTGTTCTGACTTCCTTCCCCTATCTGCCTGCTACCATTTATGTTTCGGTTTTTAGGTAATTTTCCATGCTTTCTTTATTTTTATTTATTTATTTATTTATTTTTATTTACTTATTTTTTATTTTTTTATTTTTGTGAGGAAGATCAGCCCTGAGCTAACATCCATGCCAATCCTCCTCTTTTTGCTGAGGAAGACCGGCCCTAAGCTAACATCTATTGCCAATCCTCCTCCTTTTTTTTCCCTTTTCCCCCCAAAGCCCCAGTAGATAGTTGTATGTCATAGTTGCACATCCTTCTAGTTGCTGTATGTGGGATGCCGCCTCAGCATGGCCGGACAAGGCGTCGGTGCACGCCTGGGACCCGAACCCGGGCCGCCAGTAGCGGAGCACGCGCACTTAACCACTAAGCCACGGGGCCAGCCCCCTGTTTGCCTTATTAATCTCTCTCTCTGCACACACATTATTTTTTCTGAACCATTTAAGGGTAAGTTAGCTTTATCATGGCTCTTTACTCCTAAATACTTCAGTGTGTGTTTTTTAAGAGTAGGGATGTTCTGTTACATAACCATCAGCTTCATAAATTTACATACCATCTCTGTATTCCATTTTTGCCAGTTGGCCTAAAAAGTCATGTATAGCATTCTTTCCCCTCCAATACAAAATCCAGTATAGCATCAGATATTACATTCAGCTGTTATGTCTCCTCATCCTACATTTTTATAGCCATTTTTTTTGTATTGTATGACATTGACATTTTAGAGGACTACAGCCCCCTTCCCTCCATTTTAAGTAGAACATTACTCATTTTGTATTTGTCGAAGGCTTAAACTTGGTTTTTGAAAGTGATATCCAGGGTGTTTCTTTTTTTAATTTTATCTTTTTTTTTTTTTTGTGAGGAAGATCAGCCCTGAGCTAACATCTGTTGCCAGTCCTCTTTTTGCTGAGGAAGACTGGCCCTGAGCTAACATCCATGCCCATCTTCCTCCACTTTATGTGTGACACTGCCACAGCATGGCGTCATTGCGTGCCTGGGCCGCCAGCAGCAGAGCGCGTGCATCCAGGGTGTTTCTTTAAAGGAATGCTTGACTTTGGAATTTTTCTTTATGTGGGCCTCAGAGCAATATGATAAAACCCTGGCAGTTTATCAAAATAGATAAAAATGGGGATATAGTTGAAGTGGATGTTTTTATTTTACTGCTTAAGATTCACATGGATCCAAGAAACTGAAATGAAAATGTATCCTTATTAAATATTATAAATATATTTGGAAGTGATACTAAGAAATTAGTTTTAAGTAAAGAGGCAGACAAATGTTTGAGTAGTACTTGTAACGTTGGGCAAGCCACTTGACCTCTTTGTAAAATGGAAATACTATACAGTTTTGTCTTAATGTAGTTCTGAAGATAGCAGTATGGCAAAATTTGATATATTCAGAATTACACTTTAAACATTAGACTCACACTCAAGATAGGCATGTAGGATCAATTTGTACCTAGGGAACAGGAGAAATGCATCTCCCATCTCAAGTTCACCCTGGGTCGTAAGCTCATGAATAGAATGACTGGATGCAGTAGTCTGCACTATTTAAATGATTTCCCCCCTTTTTGTATACTCATAAATCAAATAGGACTCCAGTATAAAAGTGCCTACCTAATAAGGTTGTTGGGAAGAGTAATTAAATAATACAACCACCTGTTTTACAGATTTATTTTTTGTAACATGAATTTATTCTAATGGGATGGATTAATTAGGGAGCACAATTTTAATTAGACTACTGTTTGTGTTATTAACACAGTCATATAACAAGGTGGGGAACTAGTGGTGTGGGAAGGAAGGGCGTTTGAGCAGCACTGCTATTTTAAGTTATTCTTGTCTGTCCTAACAGTAATTTGAAAGAACATATGAAGGATTATGCTAATGACAGGGCTGGGAAAGGAGGCCAAGGTTAGGTGTGATCAATTGTAGGATTTCCTCAGTGATGTTTAGGTTTATAACATACGCTTATAGCTAAAAACGTCCTTTATAATTGATACTCCTAAGGAAAAAAATCATTCTTAATGAGACCTGAAATTCCCTGTCCCTCAACTCTCATTTTCCCATGGAAACAGTTGTTTTTATATGTGATTTTTGATAATGCAGTGTTTCTTAAAATTCTATCATGATATTGCACAGCAGACTGTATTTGTAAAACACCTAGTACAGTATCTGACACGTTTTTTTAAAAAGTTGCTTTGATTATTGCATGTGCATGAACATGAGCATGAGCCCTGAGTCAAGTAAGGGACTCATATTAACATATTGTGCAGACAGACCTTTGTAGAATAAGCCTTTTTGTTCACATTTGAGGAAAAAGGCTTGTTTCAGGTTTCTGTAAGCCAGGTTTGGGGGGTTTTTCCCCCTTTTTTCCTTTATTTTTTTAGAAATTGGGCCTGGAGAATCCCAATAACACCAGGCCTGGTTGGATGGTCTTGAAGGCAGACTCATATGAATTTTTATGGGGACTTTGAGGAGAGAAAGTTCACTTCTTAGCACCTTCCTTTTCCTTCTCTTTCTCTGTATCAAAATTCCAAGTGAAGTATACAAAGATTTTTCTTCTTTTCTGCTTTAAACAATAAGATGGCTGTTCTTTGTCTAACTCCCGCCTCCTACCTCCGTTTGAGTCCCTGTGCTTTTCTGATATTTTTCCACCTTTGTTGGTATTCATCTGTCAGTGTCGTTGCAAAGGGAATTCTGACATTGGTGGTGTGAACTAGGTGTCCGGTATGATTCCTTACAGTTCTGTTTTGCACATCTTTTACTTAGAATCTTTTGCTCTGGAGAGTCTTAAATCTTCCAGAGTATATATGGTTCAGCCTGAATTCTTGGTAGAACGTAGCACTTACACGGATGGTCAGGTGTTTAGCAAACACTTACCTTACTGGGAATAAAAGCAGATAACTAAAAAGATTTCTTTAGATAGGTAGAAAAAAGCTCAGGCTAGAAAGGGCCAGACTTAGGTGATTGGCAAAGTTATCTAAAACTGAGGAATGCTTTCAAGATTATCTCAGAAATTGCATTCAAAATCTCTAGCTGTGAATGCCTCACTATGTAGGCCTTGCTATAGGTAGTCCCCAATTATACTCCCATTGTGTTCTAAGAGACTGTCTTAAGTAGATTACCATATAGTGAAGTCCTGATTTCCTGCTTCCAGTCCTTATACTTGCACAAGCCATTGAAGCTCGATTCTTAATTAGGTAATGTTATGTGAGTAGAGGGGTAAAAAGGGTAGATTCTCTGTACTTGGGTTGGGTACTCAATATGAAGGAAAAAAGGAAAGCGTTATGTTCCTAAGTTAAGCTACAGGAAGGGATTCTCATAAGTAATGTAGTTAATGTAAAGACTGGCATTTTTATTGCAGAACTGCAGAGACACTAGCAGTTTGGAAATGGCGCGAACAGACAAACCATATGTATTAGGAGCTGCGACCCCTGCTCTGTCTCTGCCTCCCTTGTTTTGCATAGCTGTAGTCACCACCTGACAAATTTGGTGCTTTTTTAGAAATCTGATTCCAGGAGAAGAAGGAGACTGTAAAAAGCAGGAGTAACCCTAGGGTAGCTAGCTTCTGCCCCCAAATAATCATCTTACCCAGGGAGCCTGAAAGTTTCTACTGCACCGTTACATACTAATCTGCAGTTTATAAGATTAATTTGGGTAAATTAGTATCTTCTTTTTAAGAATGCTCTCACATTTGGGAAGGTTCATTTTCATACATGACCTAAACTCATGCATTAAGACAGCTTTTTTCTTAATTGCTTCATGAGAGAGCCACCCTGGGAGTTGTGTTTGGGGCAAGGGAAGGTCAGTAATGTTAGAACCTGGGAAGGCAGGAAGTATGTTGCAAAGAGCACTGGATGAGGACTCGAAGACTGGGCTCTGGTTCCGGTTCTGCTCATTTCTACAAAGGTGGCCTTTGATAAGTTACATTATTAATAGCTGAGTGTGTTTGAAACCAGGGTAATAATCTTGGCTATGATAATAATACTGTACGTTGGCAAGGTGTCTTAATCCACACAACATTGTGATGTCAGATTTAAACCCATTTAACAGATGAGGAGACTGGGGGCGGGGGGGTGGGGAGGGGGGAGGAGGTGTAATTGACTAGTCCAAGATCACATGCCTAGTAATTGTCAAAGCCAGAGCTCTAGCCTAGGATTTCTCTCTTATGCATTATACCATGGCTGCTGTGCAAAACCTAGGGTTTAGTATCGTGGAGTTCCTTGAAGAATTAGGTCGGGTTTGAGGGGAGTGCTGAGTAGGGCAGCATTCGGATACTTGTTGGCCACAGAGTAGAGCACCTAAGATAGGCAAGCAGATAGATAAGGGCAGTAGAGAATTCTTAAACAAAAAACCAAAAACTTATTTCCCAAATGTGTCTTCCACTATCATTGTGTACAAGAGAGAATGAAAAATTCCTCTTTTACTTCTTCCTCTCTTCCTAGAAGTTAGGCTAATACTGTTAGTTATTTGCTTAATTACATCAGTATTATGGATCAGATAGGCTTTTTTGGCTGTCCTCAGAAGTTAATCATCATGTATAACATTGTTCTTGTTAGAAAATGCTCTCCGAATTCCAAACCACCAATTTAAAGATGATTTTTTTAAAATGTAAGATTTAAGGTGGAGATTGCCACTGATTATGAATGATACATTTAAGATTATTATAATCAGTAAAGTTAATTTGCAAGTTCTAAACTGTGTAACCTGAATTCTAGCTGCATCTGTTTGCCTCATTTTAAGCTGAAAAGAGCTTCGTTGTTTTTTCTGTTAGTAAAAATAGTACATGCTTATTATAAAAATTCCACTCATTTTTATTTATTTATTTGTTTCTTTGTGATGTTAGCCCTGAGCTAACATCCATTGCCAATCTTCCTCTTTTTGCTGAGGAAGATTAGCTCTGAGCTAACATCTGTGCCCATTTTCCTCTGTTTTGTATATGGGATGCTGCCACAGCATGGCTTGATGAGTGGTGTGTAGGTCTGTGCCCAGGATCTGAACTTGTGAACCCCAGGCCGCCTAAGTAGAGCGTGCAAACCTAACCATTATGCCACCGGGCCGGCCCCCTACTCATATTTTTTAAAAAGTTAAAAAATGGCAGTATCTCTGCCATGCAGAGATAATCATAACTAACCTTTTCTGAGTATCTTATCTGAATTCTATGTACCTGCACATACACATTTTTTAAAAATAATATCATATGCTACATGCTGCTTTGTGACCTTCCTTTTTCTATTAAACAGCATGTTCTGGTCCTTTTTCCATTTCAATAAGTTAAGCTTTATGTAATCACTTTTAGTGTCTATATAGTTTATTATCTTATAAAAGTATCTCGATTAGTTAGAATATATGATACTGTTGGTTGCTAACATAAAGCTAAATAACAGTGACTTAAATAAGACGTAAATTTTACTTTTCTCTCACACAACTCCCAGAGAGTCAGCAGATCAGAGGTGACAATATCAGGGACCCAGGCTCTTTGTCTTGTTTCTCTGTCAGTCTTAACATGGGGTGGGTGGGTGAACCTCTTAACAAAAGAATTTAAGCTGGATAAATGTAGAAGAAATGATGGAATTAGAAGAATCATTTTGCAACCCTCCATGTAATAATTAGTTCAGGAAAGGATCATAGATGGCCAAACTATTGGATGAAAAGTTGTTATGGAATGTGATGTGCACATGGTTTCAAAGTATCATCCCATAGATTATTACTTTTAGAAAAGGAAGAAGTAACTTTTGCAACTGAGACACCTGGCTAATACTTTAGCATCACCAGTGATAGGTCAAAGTGACATATGGGATGCAAAAAAAGGGATAGAGATGGGGACTGTTTTAGATTAAAAGAGACCAAGGCCTGGCAACCAAAGTAATATATAATCCTTGATTAGATTCCTAGATTTAAAAAAATAGATATAAAGCGCATTGTGGTGGCAGTAGGTGAATTTGAATATGGACTATGTGTTGGGCTATATTGTTCATCACCATTAACATTTCTTGGTTGTGATAAATGGTATTGGAGTCAAGTAGGGGAATATCCTTGTTCTTCAGGAGTATATACTGAAATAATTAGGGTGAAGCATCACAGTGTCTTTAACTTTCAGTTTGTTCCAGAAAAAAAATTGTGTGTATAGAGAGGGTAGGATAAAGTTTTAATATGGCAAAAAGTCTCTATAGATTTAAAATTTTCAAAATAAAAAGTTTACGGAGTAGGGGGGATTGCATGTTCATTCAGATAACCTTTAGTTATCTCTATAATCCTCTATAAATCTCATTAGTACTTTTAGGAGGTTGCAATTAAATGAATATAGGTTAGGGAAAATTTGACGCATTTGCAATTTTCAGTCTTCCTGTCTAAGAACAAGGTATGCCTCTCCTTTTATTCAGGTTACCTTTATGCCTCTCAAAGTTTTGTAGTTTTGTTTTTATAGCACTCATTGCTAAGTAGCTAAGATTTTTTTTTTTTTTTTTTTTTGGTGAGGAAGATTAGCCCTGAGCTAACATCGTGCCCATCTTCCTCCACTTTATATGGGACATGGCCACAGCATGGCCTGACAAGTGGTGCATCGGTGCGTGCCCGGGATCTGAACCCCGGGCGCACACACTTAACCACTATACCACGGGGCCAGCGTGCTAAAATGTTTTTGTTGCTGTTGAGAATGTGATTTTTATTCTATTATTTTTTCTACTAGTTCTTGTTGATCAACAATTTCAGTGTCTCCATTAATATTTCAGTTGATTCTTTTAGGTTTTCTAGGTATAGTTATGTATTTCAAATAATGATAAATTTATTCTTTTTATTGATATACATACCTCTTATGGTTCTCTTGTGTACTACGTTGGCTACAGTTTCTAGGACAGCATTAAACAATAGTGATGCTAACACTATTTTGACTTGTTCCTTACTTTTATTGGATTCATGCTATACTAGTGTTCCACCATTAAACATAATTCTGGCTGTTGATTTGAAGGGTGTCTGAGAATGCTTGTGTTTATGTTAAGGAATGAATGTTGAATTTTATGAATTAAGGAATGAATGTTGAATTTCATGAAGTGCTCTTGGTTTCTGTCACAGGATGTTTATAGAGTTTTTCCTTCACTTTAGTAAATTATATTAATAGATTTTCTAGTATTTAATAGTATCTTTTTAAAAATGAGATTGAAATATAGGGTTTTTAAATTTGTTTTATATCATCTTTCTCAGGCTTTGGTTTCGATGTAATTTGCTTTATAAAATTTGTTAAGCTTTTCATCTGTTGCTGTGCCCTGAAACAGTAGAGATGATATTACACTTTAACGTTACTCAAAGATTAGAAGTAATTTACCCATACTGAAGAGTTATTTAACAGCACTCTTTTGGATAGTTACTTAACCACATTTTAGTTTCTTTCTTGGGTCTGTTTTTTAGTCTGTATCAGCATGGAGTTGTAACCCATATTTTCTTATAATTCCTTTTACTGAATTTTGGTATTCCTTCTTTATTTTATTTTTCCTCCAAAAGAGCTAGCTTTGGGATTTATTTATCAAATCTAATATTTTTCTGTCTTCTAATTCATTTATTTCTGCTTTTACTTTTATGAAAACCTTTTTTATATTTTCCATAGGTTTGTTTATTGCTTTTTTATCTTCCTGACTTGAGTGATTAATTTATCTTATTCATTAATGAAAGTATTTAGGGCTGTTACATTGATAGGGACAGAGAAGTATTCAGCGCTTTTTGCTGTGTGAGACTTGGCGGCTCTAAGATCTGGCCTCATTCCCCGACGTCCTGGTTCTTACAGCTCTTTGATTCTCTGATCTGCAACAATATCCTTGTCAAGTAACTACATGAGCCAATAAATAAAATTCTCTTAGGAATTTTTGCTTGTACTGTCTGCAGGATACTTTTAGCTGGGTGCTGATTGACATATCATGAAAAAAGCTTTATGTGCCTAAATAATTATAGAGCTGTTTTGGTCTTCTCTTACTTATCTTATATCTTATTTATGTTTTCTTGCTCTTTCCTTTCCTTTGTTTTATATCTTTTTACTGTGGGTTGCTCCACCACAGTAATTTGAAAGATGTTTAATATATTTTTAGTTCTACTGGTGATTACATGTTTAAGTATACCTAAACCCGTGTTTCCTCTTTTATCTACTTCAGCAAAGTCTGCCTGTTGACTCCCACTATGAAATATGAGGAAATGTAGTTTGTCTCACTAACTCAATCCCCTCTTGTTGGTTTTTATTGATACAGTATGTACTGTGATTCCTTACAGCCTCCCTTCAGTTTAAATTAGTTTTATATTCTAGACATGAAAAGCTCTACATAATATATTCATTAAGTGAATAAAGCATAATCTGCATAATATGCTGCCTTTTTTTAACTAAGGAATTGCTCATTTTATTTTATTTTTAAATTGAGATATAATTAACGTATAACATTATATTAGTTTCAGGTATATAGCATAATGGTTTGATATATGTATATATTGCAAAATGATCACCACAATAAGTCATCTTAACATCTATCACCACACACTTACAAATTTTTTTTTCTTGTGATGAGAACTTTGAAGATATACTCTCTTAGCAACTATGCTACCTCTTTAAAAAAAAGAAAAAGAATAATATATCAATATTGTGTGTACAAAAAGAAACTGGAAAATATGAAATTAATGAAAGTAATTAACTGTTGACAGGGGTAGGAACAAGACTTCTCATTCTTTAATTTTTTCTGCTATTTGGTTTTTGAATCATGAAAACATTACATATTCAAAAGAAAAAACATTTTTTAGAAGGTAACTAGAAATAGCAAAAAAATTCACTGTTACCTACTTTGTTTCCCACTAGCTGTAACATTTATATTTTATTTTATAACCATAATTACCATAGTTATTTAGGTTTAATTCTGTGTTGTAATAGATTCGTGTGCTCAATGCCACTCTTTTCTTACTGCTTTTTCTCATTAATTCTTTGAGTCATATCTTAGGGTTATATTTCAAATGGATTTTTCAAGATAAAATCTGATTATTGTATTTCCTTTGCTAAGTGTAGAATTTTTTTGTTCACAGCATATTGGTTCCTTTAAGATGGTAGACAGCATTCTGTTATCTCTAGTTTTTAATGTGAGGTGTCTGAAGCCAGCCTAATTTCTTTTTCCTTGTGGGTGACATGATTCTACCACCTGGATGCTGGTAGTATTCTTTTCCTTTATATCTCTGAAAATAGATAGATTTTGTTAAGCTGTGTCTTGATGTTGTGCCACTTGTAATAACTTTTCCTGGTATATAATGATCTGTATATTTAGATATTCCTTCATTTATATTTTGTTAATCTTTATCTTGGAATAATTTTGTTTCAAGTGTTTTTATTGTTATTATTCAAATATTTATTGAGCACTTATTCTGTACGAGCTACGGTACAAAGCAATGGGAATAGATTGGTGAATAAATCAGACACAGTCTGTATCCCTCTGACCTTATACACATCAGTAACGCCAAGGGGTGGATATAAGTGCACTTTGTTCATACCACTTGATGGCTCATCCCATTGTATAGCAATTTGTATCTGTCCTTCCCAGCTAAGATATGAGCTCCCCCAAACAGCACTGTGCCTTATATACTGTTAGACAATCTGACACATGGGGAGGATCTCAGTAAATAATGTTTGAGTAAATGGCCTGGTTTTGTTGAAATACTACACCCATCCGTTAATTTCCTCTTAGATTTTGCTCTGTCTACCCAGTATAATCTGTTTCTATCTTTGCTCTTATCTTCATCCCTTACTTGTGATTGTAAATGTGATTTTCTTTGCCTTCTGTAGTGTGTCATCTTCCACAATATTTTTTTCAACCATTGCTCACTTTTCCAACTACCATATCTTTTATGTCCGTGATGTATGTCTCCTTTTTCACCACTGCACCTGCAATTCCAGAACAGCTGTTTCTGAGAACAAGGAGCAATAACATTATTGAAACATGATGTTCAATTTTATCCAGATTCTGTGTATTTGCTAATTTTATTCCTGCCACCTAGTGGCCAAATCAGGATTACAGCATGGCATAGGCATGTCTTGGCTTTTCCTCTTTGTAGCTAACATTTAAAATGTATTGATATTACCTGATTGGGCCGGCCCCGTGGCTTAGCGGTTAAGTGCGCGCACTCCACGGCTGGTGGCCTGGGTTCAGATCCCGGGCGTGCACCGATGCACCGCTTCTCCGGCCATGCTGAGGCCGCGTCCCACATACAGCAACTAGAAGGCTGTGCAACTATGACATACAACTATCTACTGGCGCTTTGGGGGAAAAAAATAAATAATAAATAAAAATTAAAAATAAATAAATAAATAAAATGTATTGATATTACCTGATTAATCTCTCTATGTTCCCTGTCTTAGTTATTTTTAAGGATCTGCATGCTGGTATGTTGAAATTAAGGTCAGAAGCCATTCCTGCTCTGTGTCGTTTTTGTGCTTAGCCATGTGTTTTTTACTCTAAAAACACCATACTAATGTTTATACTAACCAGTTGCAGATTTTAGTCTTACCGTTATAGACCAGTGTATTTATTAGAATACCAGTAATTCCTTGGAATAAATCTTAGTATATATAAAAGATAACATTATTGACAGTAATGACTGATTCTAAAAGATTACTAAGTCCCACTAAAATATAAGTAGTGTTGAGTAACAAATATTCCTGAGATCCTGTTCATTCATTCAAAAGCAGCATTAGTTTTCAAAGAGGCATCAGCAGAGTTTGTTAACTCATTACAAAAGACGATAAACCTCAGGCATTTACTCTTGGGAAATGGTGTTATGGTCACACTCATGTTTTTCATCAGTTTGGGAGCCAGAGAATCTTCTCTCCTGCAAATTCACTCCCAGTCTTTTCCTTATGTAACTATAGTTTCTGTTTTTCTTTTCTATGTTTTATAATCACAGTTTATGCCTGCCATCACTGAAAATAACTAGACTACTAACCCACACTGACTTGTTTTTTCTTTAAAGACTACACCTTCAGAATATTTTCTTTTTTGATTTTTTAAAAAATGTATCTGTTTTCTATAAAATAATGCAATTCAATTGAAAAACATTTGTTGAAAACCTCTTGTTTGTCTTGCTAATGAGCTTTATTAGTTCAAGTTAATATATACTGGTCTGTATTTTATAGTTTCAGTCTAAGTATTTTTTTTTATTGATGTTTTAATAGTTTATAACATTGTGAAATTTTGGGTTGTACATTTTTGTTTGTCCATCACCATATATATGTCTCCCTTCACCCCTTGTGCCCACCCCCTACCCCCATTTCCCCTGGTAACCACAATACAGTTTTCTCTATCCATGTGTTGGTTTATATTCCACATATGAGTGAGATCATACAGTGTTGTCTTTCTCTTTCTGTCTTATTTCACTTAACATAATACCCTCCAGGCCCATCCATGTTGTTGCAAATGGGACGATTTTGTCTTTTTTTATGGCTGAGTAGTATTCCATTGTGTGTGTGTGTGTGTGTGTGTGTATATATATATACACACCACATCTTCTTGATCCAATCATCAGTCGAGGGACACTTAGGTTGCTTCCACTTCTTGGGTATAGTGAATAATGCTGCAGTGAACATAGGGGTGCATGAGCCTCTTTGGATTGTTAATTTCAGGTTCGTTGGATAGATTCCCAGTAGTGGGATAGCTGGATCATAGGGTATTTCTATTTTTAATTCTTTGAGGAATTTCCATAGAGGCTGTTTTCCATAGAGGCTGTACCAGTTTGCATTCCCACCAGCTGTGTATGAGGGTTCCTGTTTCTCCACATCCTCTCCAACATTTGTTGTTTTTTGTCTTGGTGATTATAGCCATTCTAACGGGCGTGAGGTGATATCTTAGTGTTGTTTTGATTTGCATTTCCCTGATGATTAGTGATGTTGAACATCTTTTCATCTGCCTATTGGCCATCTGTATATCTGCTTTGGAGAAGTGTCTGTTCATTTCCTCTGCCCATTTTTTGATTGGGTTGTTTGTTTTTTTGTTGTTCAGTTGTGTGAGTTCTTTATATATTATGGAGATTCACCCCTTGTCAGATACATGTTTTGCAAATATTTTCTCCCAGCTGGTGGGTTGTCTGTTCATCTTGATTCTGGTTTCATTTGTCTTATAGAAGCTCTTTAATTTGATAAAGTCCCACTTGCTTATTTTTTCTTTAGTTTCCCTAGTGTGGGTAGGCATGTCATCCAAAAAGATTCCTTTATGACCAGTGTCAAATAGTGTGTTGCCTATATTTTCTTCTATGACTTTTATAGTTTCAGGTCTCACCTTCAGGTCTTTGATCCATTTTGAGTTAATTTTTGTGAATGGTGATAGCAGATGGTCCATTTTCATTCTTTTGCATGTGGCTGTCCAGTTTTCCCAACACCATTTATTGAAGAGACTTTCCTTTCTCCATTGCATGTTCTTAGCTCCTTTGTTGAAAATTAGCTGTCCGTATATGTGTGGTTTTATTTCTGGGCTTTCAGTTCTGTTCCATTGATCTGTGTGTCTGTTTTTGTACCAGTACCATGTTGTTTTGATTACTGTTGCTTTGTAGTATGTTTTGAAGTCAGGGATTGTGATGCCTCCAGCTTTGTTCTTTTTTCTTAGGATTGCTTTAGCTATTCGGGGTCTTTTATTGCCCCATATGAATTTTAGTATTCTTTTTTCTATTTCCGTGAAGAATGTCGTTGGGATTCTGATTGGGATTGCATTGAATCTGTAGATTGCTTTAGGTAATATAGACATTTTAACTATGTTTATTCTTCCAATCCATGTGCATGGGATGTCTTTCCATTTCTTTATGTCATCATCGATTTCTTTCAATAATGTCTTGTAGGTTTTATTGTATAGGTCTTTCACCTCCTTGGTAAGATTTATTCCTAGGTATTTTATTCTTTTTGCTGCAATTGTAAATGGTATTATCTTTTGGAGCTCTCTTTTTGTTAGTTCGTTTTTAGCATACAGAAATGCAACTGATTTTTGTAGATTGATTTTGTACCCTGCGTCAGTCTAAGTATTTTTGATTCAATCTGAAGGGAATTAATACTAGTATACCTATTTGTAGAAAATCATAATCTTTTTATTTTTTCCTTTTTTCTAATAGAAAACTTTGACCTTGCTTTATGTGTTTAAACTCTTCAAATTGTACATATACAAACATTTTAAATTGAGAAAGCAGTCTCAACCGAGACTGACAGTGTCTGAATGTTCCTAGCCTTTGTCATGCCTTATAAGCCCAATTGGGTTAATCTGTTCTTTCCATGGATTTTTAAATTATTTTTCTGGATTTGGTAGTGTTTTTAACCTTGCACCATGGTATTGAGGCCAAAACAATTTTGGTATTGAGGCCAAAACAATTTGGTTTTGTTGTGTTTTTTCTTTTGCTCTTAACAATATAATGCCATAGAGGAGACAAAACTTCTACTCTAACCCCTGCCCTATAAGATTGAGAGGTCAATAGAAATTTTTTTTCTTCATCAAGTTAGAGGGTAAGCTACTAGAGGTGAGTACTTTTTTAAAAAATCATTGTGGTTAGCTATCCCTCTCTGAATATTAGATCGGGAAGTGTAGTAATCATATTTAACTGTTTTCAAATTTATTGTACCACTAGAGGGTTCATAACTCCTAATCATCTGTAAAGGAGAAACTAAAAACATTTGAAACTTTCACCAGTTTTCATTTGGAGGCATTAAAGGTTTTGAAAAAATACTTGGATGTTGAAGTTACTGTAGTCCTAAAAGAAAAGTCTGAGTTTTGATTGCTTTGATTATATCTTCTATCCTGAAAAGTAACCATCTTACAGGGATTCCAAAGATCTAAATATGTTCTAGTCTACAGAGCTAGATGATTTTGAACTTGATACCCACCTAGCCAGTCATTTCCCAGGGATTTATGAGGATTGATGAAAATAACTTTTATCACACTAGTAAAATATTTCTGTGTAAATACAAAGAGTGGTATTTAGTATTACTGATAATACATGCATTTTTAAAAATTCTGAAATGACTTTAGATACATTGCTGTCTTCCTTTTTGCTTTCTTTTCTTATCTTTTTCTTCATTCCCTGAGATATCAAGATCAGCTAGAAGGTTTTATAATTACTTTAAAATTTGGCTCCATTAAAGCTATAGGCAGAGTGTTGACACAAGAAAGTCTTCTTATATGATGCCATTATCCCACATTTTATCATTTAAGGATGTCTGTTATGCAGTGGCTTTGCTTTGTCCTCTAGGGAACTGACATGGCCAGGAATAAATTAAAATCTTAGTGATACAGAGTGAATCAAATCATTTTGTGTCTGTACTGAAAATGACTTAGGCTTGATCCACAGTTAATTTTGATTTATTCTATAAGTCCCTTTGAGTAAATAAAAATGTTCATAATGGAAAAGGTTTTGTAGGATAAGGGGAAAGGGGACTCAGGAAAGTAATTATAAATCAAAATCCCATTTCTTATTTTATAGAGGCCCTTTTAGGAGGTCTGTGAAGTCAAAACTATTTTTATAAGATGAGTTGTCTTTGGCATTCTCATTTTTAAAAGTCGAGTTTTCCACAGATTACACAATATGTAATGATGTCATCAGCTGATGGAATATGTGCATGTGTATTTTTGTGTTTTAAAAATTGCTGAGTTTTAATTTATAAAATGGTAAATAGCAATAGATAGAACCCATATTTTAAAAGCTCAGTAATTTTTAAGAGTTTACAGGAGTCCTGAGACCAAAAAGTTTATGAAGGACTTCTCTATGGCATATAGTTAAATCGAATTTGCATTGCTCCTTCTCATTTCCTGTTTATTGTAGGTTGTTGTTGTTGTTTTTAGGAACCATAACCTATTCTCTTTCTGCTCTCTCAGGGAATAGAATGTGAGTTTTAGTTGTAGGTGGCAATTCAGGAAGTTGACTATAAACAGTTCTTGCATAAATGTAGAAAGCTGAATATAGAGGACAAAAGAACTTTCTTCTAACAGGACTGGCCAATGACTGTCTTATGATATGATGTGCTCTCATCACTGGAGGTGTTCAAGCATAGATTAAACAACTATTATCAAGAGTATTTTTAAAGAAGATTAATAGTTCAGGTAGAGGACTATACTAAAAGGGTTCTAATAATATATGCCCCCTTTAAAAGACACTTAAAATCCTAGTTTTAGGGCTGAAACCACTTTGGCTGCACATGAATTCTAACATTAACAAATAGAGTAGAGTTCTTGTTTGCATTGCCCAGTTAAATCTTTTAACAAATTAAAATGAATTACAAAAATAGACCTTTCAATTTGTTAATTCTATTTATCTATTTTATTCCTTCTGATATAAAATGTGGTATATTTAATCAACTTGCTGACGTTTTTTTTCATGTGTTTTATTTCAGTTGGTCGCATTATGTTTCAGCTCTTCTCAGACATATGTCCAAAAACATGCAAAAACTTCCTTTGCCTATGCTCAGGTAAATGAATTATTAAATTATTTCCAATGAGAAGTCATAACTTAACGGTTTTACTTTGCTTAATGGAGTAGATATTTTCCCCATAAAGTGATGGGCTGTGAAATAACATTTAACAGAATAGATATTTTCCTTAAAAAGTAATGCGCTGATATGAAATCAGGAAAGTATTTCTTAAAGGGAAGAAAGGAAAAAGAAATGGTCTCAAAAATGAAAAAGAAAGTACTATATGTAATGAAATCTTTTCTATACATTGTAGTTTATAAAATAATAGCATATTCAAAACCGATTTGTTATAATTTTACAAATTTCAGTGCTTTGAACAAATTTAGCATTCCAGATTTCACAAGAAATTTAGGATTAGAAGATAGCAAGGCAAAACATATTATGAAGTTGTTCTTTGTTATACATAATTGGATTTATTTTTTTTAAATTTTTTTTGTCTAAGATGTCTTTATTTTACTTTCATTTGTGAAGGATATTTTTATTGGGTATAGAATTTTAGGTTGGCAGGATTTTTTTCTTTCAACACGTTAATGATGTTTTCCATTGTCTTTTGGCTTCCATTATTTTTCATAAGAATCCAGCCATCATTATTAATGTTGTTTTCTTGAATGTAATGTGTAGTTTTCCTCTGTGTGCTTTTTTCCCCTTTATTGTGAAATTTTTGATGTACATTATTGTTTGTCAGTTACCATATAAATGCATCCCTTCACGCCTTGTGCCTACCCCCCACCCCCATTGCCCCTGGTAACCACCAAACAGTTCTGTCTGTCTGTGTGTTGGTTTATCTTGCACATGAGTGAAATCGTGCAGTGTTTGTGGATTTACATTTTTAACAAGTAGAAAAAATTGGGAGGAAAAACGTCTATAATGTTACTTTAAAAATAGAAATAGCCGGGCTGGCCCCGTGGCATAGTGGTTAAGTGCACGCGCTTTACTGCTGGTGGCCTGGGGTTCAGATCCTGCGCGCACACCAATGCACTGCTTGTCAGGCCGTGCTGTGGTGGCGTCCCATATAAAGTGGAGGAAGATGGGCACAGATGTTAGCCCAGGGCCAGTCTTCCTCAGCAAAAAGAGGAGGATTGGCATGGATGTTAGCTCAGGGCTGATCTTCCTCACAAAAAAAAAAAAAAATAGCAAATTGAATTTTTAAAATCTATACTTGGATGCACTTACATACACACACAATCTTTGTACCAACTCCTTGATTATATTCTTTTACTGGAGTAATAGTCGTTTCTAATCTTTCTTTTCTCTGGTAGTGTGTAGAGTCTGTACCACACAATTTAACATTTATATGCTGCTTTGTGTTATTTATTTTGGTTTGTATGTATATTAAATTGTCACACTGTCTACTTCTTATATCTCTTACAGTGCCCAAACACAGGAGGGATTGACAAAGGACTAATTGAATAATACTTTTCATGGAAGGATATGTTTGTAGCTAAACTTCATTTCTCTTTTTTCCAGGGGAGAAAGGCCTTGGAAAAACAACTGGGAAGAAGTTATGTTATAAAGGTTCTACATTCCATCGTGTGGTTAAAAACTTTATGATTCAGGGTGGGGACTTCAGTGAAGGTAGAGCTAAAAGTTGTGCTCCTAATAACTCCATCTACCAGTTTCTAAAGTCTCTTATTATTACTTTTAATTGTAAATATTTTGTCACTTATAGTATGATGTAAATATTAGGTGGTCAGTGAAGAGTTGTTAGATGAGTGAATATTGTAGACCTAGAATTTTTGAAAAACAAAATACTAAGACATTTTATTTTGTTTTTATGCAATTTTAGTAATATAATTACTTGGTCAATTTGCTTACAATGAATGCCAAACTACTGTCCAATTGTTCCTATTCTTCTAGAATTTTGTTGGTGTGATTACTGTTTGAAATAAATGGGTTATGGAGATAACTTTTTTAATAGTGTTTATTGTAATAAGATTGGACTTATAGTTTAAAGATGAGGTTAATTAAGAATTCTTAGAATTTTGATTATCTGCAGCAATTACAAGATGTTAGCAAATTTAAACCATAAAAAGTAATTTATATGTATTAGTTTATTTTTAATTTTCATTATAGCTTAATGTAGCTCATTATTTACAGGTAATGGAAAAGGTGGAGAATCAATTTATGGTGGATATTTTAAAGGTAAGACTTAATATTTTATGGTCTTCTGTTTCAGTTCTGATATTAAAGCAGGTTTGATCATGTACTTTTAATGAGAAGAGGTTTACTTATAGTTCACTTTTTGCATGAAACTAATGCTGCATGAAATACTTTATTTGCATGAACTTGGGGATAAATTATATTGTAATATATAACTTTTAATTGACAAGATTAATTAAGGCTAACTTTATCGTTAAACATGACTTTCAGCATGGAGGTTAGGCAACTATATACATGAAAACTCCTATCTTCCTGCCTAAAACTGTCAACATATTCTTTTGTTTATAGAGAATGTGGTCTTTTGCAAAATGAAAAGGTAAGAGAACGAAGCTCAGTAACACAAATTCCAATTCTGTTCCCTTGCACCCTTCCTAATAAATTTATGGACAGTCTGGGTCAGGTTGTGGCTGGATTTCTTATTTTGCTTGAAGACTTGGAAAATTCTGTACACTGTTTCATACATGCATCTGTGTCTTTTTTCTTTTCCCAATGGGTTGTTAGTTCCACATCAGGGAAAACTATCTAGCTGTTTTTTTTTTTCCCTAAACCAAGCAATTTCTTTGGTAGAAAAAGTTGGTATTTTCTCCTTTCTCAAAGGTTTGTATGTTTTCTTTTGTATACTAGAACTATATGATTGTGTTTTATTCCTACAGTAGTAGCATTTGCATAAGTCTAACTATTGCACTTGCCCCAAAAAGCCTTAGAAAAGTCAGTTGCAGAGATTTGTAATGGGAACCAATATTACTAGGTTTTAATGCCATGATAGCTTCAGTGTTATAATAGTCTTTTATATTTCTTTTGGGGGAAAATGGATTACTACTCTTTTTCAGAAGCCTGTTCCCAAGGTAATCATTTTTTAAAGTTTTCTATGTTTCTGTTTGTTCTAAAGAGAGATTTGTTTGTATGAGTGTTAAAAGGAAATTGAAATTAGTTTTCAGTATATTTCTGCTGGAATTAAAAGGATCTCTAGGTAATTTTTATGACAGAGTTTTTCCTTTGAACTAGTAGGAAACAGCTCTTTGGCTGGTTCTATTAGCATGTAGCAATTGGAAACTAATGCTGTAGGCCACTTTAATGTGGTTATTCCCTGTGGCAGATACTTGTGTATCTTAAAATTGTATTTTGCCATTTAACTTTTGTTTCTACAGGACTTTCTTCCTTAGATAACTTTTGATCCTATTGATTAGAAGGAATCCACATACTTAATTTAATTTAGGCATGTCCTTACAACTTAATTTATGTAATTTTTTGGTTTTTATGCTCATAGTCTAGCTTTAATTCAGTTGAATTAAGTAATAAGTAATTATAATTAAAAGTAACTACATATTAAATAATTAAGTAATAAATTTACCATATAGAAAATAAGAGAATTATTAAACTTCTCCATGTATAGTGCAGTAGGCAGGATAATTGGAAATTTGAAAGAAATGAGCTTTACTATAGAGATTTCTCTAAAATTTCTTTACTAGTTTTCCCTCAAAGTTAATAGTTTAAATATCATGTAGCCAAAATATGTTACTACTAAAAGTGACTGTTCTAAGGCTGTTTGTATAAAGTATTAAATACATGTTCTTTTCCTCAAGGCTTTAGTATTTTTTTACTACTTTATTGCTTTTGTTACTTGGGTAGTTAAAAAATTTTTTTTCTAAATATTCAGTCAAGTATCTGTACTGACCAGAAGAGGAATTTCATCCTTTGCTTTCTATTTATTACTGTGAACGTTACACTTTAAAAGTCGCTTGTAATTGGAAACTGACAAATTTGTGTTTTCTTCAAACAGATGAAAACTTTATTCTCAAACATGACAGAGCGTTCCTTTTGTCAATGGCAAATCGAGGGAAACATACCAATGGTTCCCAGTTTTTCATGTGAGTAGGCATAATTCAGAGATGAGCTTTTCTTAAACAGAGAAGCGCTGTTCATGAGAAAGATGGTATAGTTAAACCAAGTTTAATGCTAGAATTCTGTCAATTTGGGATTTATTAATTTTAATGTTATAGTAACTGGTAAGCTCTAACAGCTGCCTCAGCATTCAGCACATATCCTGGATTTGAAGAATGGTACTTAAAAGACATAACTTGAAGATGTACTTTATTTTCAAAATACATTGTCATTTTCAGAAAAGAAATTGGCTTTGACTCTTAACAAATTTGGGGGCTCAGTTTACCAAAGCTAGATTGGAACATAAGCTGTTGATGAACATTTAAAAATTGTTCATAGACTAGGACTAGGTGTACCCTTGGCATGGAAAGCAGTTGGTTTGAGTAAACCATTGTATGGTTGCTTTTCCTTTTACTGTTGCTCTTTGAGCCAATTTGAGAGAGGTACCATTGTTTTCTGATATTGTATAGAGATAAGTGATTTGCTGTTGAGCCAGCATTGTAAAAAAAGAAAAACCTCAAACCTTGTGAGATCTCTATGCATAATTGAATTAACCCAATATTGCTGTCATTTCTACCGAAATTTATGAGATTATCACTCAGGAAACGTCAGAATGCTAAATTTGCTTTTTAAAAATCTCCTTTACATGTACATGCTTGCACAACCAAAACCTTACTTATTTCTCATCTGAAAGATCTTTGGCATACTTTTAGTTGTATTCTTATCTAAAGTTACTCCAAAACCTATTTTTACCAAAATCCTATGATATAAAATATGAAACATAATTGGTTAGCATGAATTTTAATGCTTTTGATTGGAAGTAAATCTCTACAGTTGTGCCATGTATATTGGAGGAATATTTTATTCATGGTTTACCAGAAAAAGTAAGTCATCTTTCTGAATGGAGGAGTATGAATGGCGCTTCCCTGTCTTTAAATGAGTAAATTATTCATATAAACTAAATCTCACATTTTAAATTTTTCTGAAAAAACAGATTTCCAACATGATCTGATAAAGTTCAGATAAGGGACATTCTGTTCCTAAGAATGTCCTAAAAATGGAAAGCTGATAGAAGATGATAATGCTTGGAGTTGTGCAGGAAAAAAGGAAGGCCTAATACAGTTGTTCCTGTATCTTCTTTTGATTTCATAGAGTATTCGTTACTACACTTCTTTACTAGAGTATTTTTCTATTCTTAACCTTCTTTAAGGGCCAAAAAAAAGGTAGTGGGAAATATTTTGAAAAACTTCTTTTATAGTACTTTAATATAGAAGCTGTTTACTCTTTGATTGAGGTTTCCCATTTCCATTTTTAAGCTTATCTGAACTGTGAACATGATAAACTAATGATTCCTTGGTCAAGAAGCTATCATCTGAGGGCTCTAAAGTTTCTTTTAGATTTGCTTTTTTATGTCAGTACATTTAAAATTTGATTTAGCAGGTAGCAGCAGCTTCTTCCCATTGTTAATACCGACTAGCTTCTTTATAAAATGTTAAAGAGTTAAAACTGGTGCACCTATATACATTAATTCAAATCCAATATATGAGATTCTCCCTTCAAAAAATTTAGAGTATCTTGTTTCGGTGTTATTTAGTACTTGCTTAAGTCTTTCTGTTTAGTATCAAACAAAATTAAGGCTATTGCTGTTTCCTACATAGCTTAATTTTACATTGGACTGCTATTTTTGACAAGAAGTGCCAAATTAAAATTTTAATATCAGTAAATTAGGATTAAAATTTTTAAACTTGTTTTCATGATTAACTAACTGTAGATGGCACTAAAATCACTGTGAACTTGTGATTGAAAGAAAATTTTCTACTTTTAGTTTGAAATTTACTTCTGGAAATAAGTTTGGAGTTAAAAGCAATCTTGGAAGTAATTGAGCGTTTTTACACACACAAAAAAATCCTTATCTCTTTTTTAAGAAGTTTTTGTGTATGTGGTTTTTTTTGCTGGCTGAAAGTACCAGTTCTCCATGGATTGTAGGATAAACTAATATTCACCTTTCTAAACAAAACATTGTCTTGCTTTTATAGAAAGGATAGGTAAAATGGAGATGGTGGCCCATAAAGGAAAAATCTTTGAAAATCTGTCTTGTAAGCCCAAATCTTTTGGAGTTGGAAGTAGTAGAAAAATATAATGTTCTATCTTCAAGTTGTGTATATGATCACAGATAATCGCTCTAAAAGTTGAGGTTACAAGGGTTGATGGTCGCAGAGCCTTCTGGTGGCATCCCAAGGGTGGCTCCTGCATTTTACCCTCTTACCACAGCTCTTCCTATGCCACCTTGAGCAGCAGTTCTGTAATCTGGAAAAAAAAAAGGGTAGTGTAAGAATGGATGGTAAAGTGCCAAGAACTGCCTTTATAGTTGCAGTTTTATAGGCTTCATAAGGACTTTTAATATATTCTTGTAAAATTGTATTTTTAGTTTGTGTTATAAATCTTCTACTTTGTAATTCCTAAGGAGTAAATTTGGTGCTGTTAGTGTGGGTGTTTGCAAAATGTTCCACAAAGATTCTTGTGCTTTGGGCAATAACTATTGTCTTCATTACTTATGCATTTAAAACTTCCCCTTTCTAAGGCATATATCATTTTTATTAAATATAATTTTGCATATATTGCTTTCTTTGGGTGAAACAATTATGTATATGATGAAAATCAGATTTTCTTCTATAAAGCTATTTGTAATTTTTTCAATAACTGCTTATGTCTACTACGGTTAATTAGCCATAATGATTTTGCTTTTGGGGGCCTAAATGGAAGAAAACTGATTCTTTTTGAAATAGTACTGTTCAAGAAACATGAAAGAAGTGATGTATGGTACTATCCCTATGAATCACTGAGGATATAATGGTGTGTTCATGTTGAGGTGTTTTTGAGGGAATTCAAAGACCTAGGACTGAAGTAATAACTAAGTTAACTTGATATTTAGTTATTTTGTGCTTTTTAATATGATTTATTTTTCAAGGCAAAGACTAGGAAGAAACAACAATAAAAGCTATAGAGTTATAAAGTCTTAGAGTGGAAAAGGATTTAGAGATCATCTAGCCCAACCTTTTCATTCTACAGATAATGCTAAATAAGGAAGAAAAACCATATAAAGTCCAGGTTATGGAAATTTTATTCATAATCTAGAAGAAATTGATAGCTCGAAAGAGAATGCTGCACACTGTAAGCTACAGGATTTTATTGACCACTCTGCTCTGAATTTAGTTTAGTTAGGTATTAAAAGCGTCAGGCATTGCTGGAAAATAAAATGACGTGCAGGGAAACATTTTTCTTTTCCTTTGGCTGTTAGTATTAACAGTCCATTAATTCTGGCTCTAATTTTTATTCTCTTTATATACATTCTTCAAAACGATAAAGAAGATATTGCATAAAGTAGTCATTAAAAAGATTAATTAGGTGGTTTATAGCTTCGTATTAAATAACTACTCTCCTGGGTTAAAGCACTAACGGAGCTATCAGGATGCCTTGGTTCTAGTTTTATTTACTATGTACCTTGAGTTAGTTTTGTCTTTCCTTTTCTATTTATAAAGTATCTACCCCACTTTCAAAGATAAAGTCAACATTTTGGTGTGAAAATGTGAATATAAAAGGAAGAAAGCATTTCGTAGATTGATCTGTTTCTGAATATGTGGAATGATACATATGTGCAAACCTTGTCTTGCCCAAAGGGAATAGATGTACTTGCCTAATTTTCATCAGTCTGAAAGGTGCTACAAGGAAGCCCTGGGCTCGTCTTGCCTAAACCAGGAGCAGCAGCAGCACTGTTCACCAGCCGCTGTTAGAACGCTGGTGCGGCGGGTACAGTTGTCCCCTTCCGCTCAGCCTGTGCAGGCTTCATCTCACAGCCATGGAGGAGAACGACTGCAGAGCTTTAGAGTACAGTCTCTGTCATTGGCCACTGTTAGTGGTTGGTCGTGATCATTATAAAAATATAACAAGATAATGTAGAAAAGGCAAACTTTGAACTTCAAACAGCAAGTATTTATTACATTTTAACAGTCATAAATAGGACATAAATGGGAGGGAAACCTAAGAAGTTCTAGGATATGTTCTATGTCATTTAATAATCCGACTTGCAGGTGGCTACTCACCTGAATGGGAAACAAGTGCTGATCATTTCACAGTAGCAGAGCAAGGGGAGTTACAGGGGTGGTTTGGTTTTAAGAGATTTATAAAGCTATGTTGACATTTTGGGTAGCAAAGGTAAATTTGGGTAGAAATACTTTTTCCCCCCACATATTCATGAATTTTTGTGAGAAGAAATGCTAGTAAGTGTTAATAACCTGAGAAGTCTAGCTTTTTCCTTTCTTTTTTTGGGTAATACCTTCATATATTAATTTCAAGGTTTTTCATGAACAAAGATGTTCATGAAACTTAACCGTAAGCCAAGTTCTCTGAATATCACATCATCCCTAACATTCAGTCTTAATATTACTTAATGTATATGACACATACATATTAGCAACCTGGAAGGCATTTTATATATAGTAGTGTTTGATGTGTATTGTTAACATTAGTGCTGAATTTTTTAAAGCTCTTCTATTTTGGTGACTTTTGGAACGCATAGCTAGAGCACTGTCATGTGGCTTAGTTTCCATTGCCCTTACAAGCTTTGTCACTGTGTACAATTTGATGCCTCTTCCACGATGGTGTGATATTTTTGGGAGTTGAAGGAAAAATTGCATGTTAAAGGCTACGTTAGACATTAGAAATAGGTTATCTTTATTTTCTTCTCCTGTACTACTTTACATCTAGAGTCACTTTTTTTACAGATTCGTTGAAAACACTACATTATTCGATACATTCTTTTTTGACAGTAATTTGTGTATCAATGCCTTTATAAGAAATTAAAGGTTATTTTAAATATTTCAAGGTTTAATATGTCCAAAACTCCTATAAAGAATTTTCTTTATTGTATATAATATAGTTTTTGGTCTGAGTAGTACTAGATATGTTTAAAGTTTAATAGAGTTAAAATTGGTCAAACAGTGTATATTCTTTGAAAAAAAATTTTTTTATAATGGGGAAAATCAGATTAGATAGGAAAAGAAAGTACTATGACCAAGATTTGACAGCATACTCTTATACTTCCATCTTTTTATCCTTTATTCTTTGAGAAGATCCTTAAAATTCTGCTTATGCTGCTTTATTCTTTTAGATTATTATTATCATTTTAAATGACTTAACAACTACAAAAGTGTATGTAATGGAAGTGAACAGCAACTACAGTTTAAACATTTCCTCATTAACTCCTGATAGTGGTCTGTTGTGTTGTGTGACGGAAAAAAGATTTCAAATATAGAAACATGAAAGGTTCTTTATTTGAAGTGAAATAGTAAATGAATTCCCTGAAATTTTGTTTGGTTTGAATTCTCTTAACTCAATTCTGTCCATGGGAATTTTTGCTTTCCACTGGTAACAACTGCTCCTGGGCATTCAGATATATATATTTATGTATGTACTCAGGATATATTATTCCCTTTTTGAGATAGTTGTTAGTTGACTTGGCTAGTTTCTAGAATTTGTGAAGTGAAATGTAATGTTTTGTTAATAGCTATTATTCACACTTGAGTGTTAGAGTATTAAGGATCTGAGCAGGTTCCCACTTTAACCACAGTGCTTTTCTTAAGCATAATTCATCTCTACATACGTATCTTATGTGAAAGAAAATTTAGAGCCCTCCATTTTAAAAAGCTTTCTTGCTTTGCATAAAACTTGAAAATATTTAATTTCAAAGTTATATTGATATTAAAACATAGATTCAGTCTTGTCTTAAAAGTGTATTACAATTTATTTCTTGCCATTTTTGTGTAAAATTTACAGAAAGAGTGTTACACCGTGCGCTCCAAAGGTAATGTCTCATTACTCTAAGGCTCTTTCTTTTTCTTTCTTTGCCTTTATCTCTTTAATCCTATTGTTATATGCATTGAACCATTTTAAGAAAAAAACCCTTTCTGCTTGATCTATGGCAGTCATACGTGTAAAACAAGTGTGTTTTCTTGTCCATGGTTAATCCTGAGAAGTATATTTTAATTTCAGGGCTTGTTTCCACACATCTTTAGGGGGCGGGGGTGGTATACTGTATATAATATAATGGTTTAGATTTCATTTCAGTACAGAACTATTGATTTCTGTGTAAGGCCAAAAGCTTCTTTGATAATGGTATAAAAATGTAGATTGCTTTTTGGAGTAACAGTGACACTTTTCAATTTCTAGGATTTACAAGGTTTAAGTGAACCCTTGTGCATATATTTTTAAAGTAGATTCAGGGGTGGAAGAAACTGGAAAATCGATGTCTAAGTGACAGGAGAACATGGAAATGTGAAAATATTGAAAGCTTTTATAATTTGAAATGTTCTTTGTGATTGTTTCTCCTTTAGGTATGTTTTCATAAGCATGTATAAACTTAAATATTTATGATAGTCTCTGGCTTTCTTAAGGTCTTAACTTACTGAGCATATGTCACCACTGCATGGATCTTGACAACTGTATAGTTTTGAAAGATCCATACCGTTTGTGGGCTGAGATCTCTTTGTCCATTGTAGTAGAATTGAATAGCTGGGACTTCCCTCTGCCCTTTTGTAACCCCTTTTGGCAGTGTCCTCTGTTTATCCATGTCTAGTGTCAGCTGCGTGCCAGTAAGCCTGCTTTACATTGGGATTTCTACTCCTGGAATGTAGGCTGAGAACCCCAGAGGGCTTCTTTTTGTTACGATACTTTCAGTATTCTTCATATGTAGTCTAACGCAATTAAAGTATAAATTTGTATTTCTGCATCCTAAGTTGCAGATGTGAGCAATGGCTTAATTATTTATACCAGTTAGGCACGGCAGGCCAGCTGAAATTTGTCCTTGAAAGAATAGTTTTTTTCTTCATTTGCTTTCTTCACTACTGCAATAAAGGACCAAATTTGTTTGTCTTCAGTTTTCATTTGAATTAAAAATAAAACTTGAATCTATCATGAAGGTAGCTATTCCATCCTCTGATTGAGTCTCAAGTAGTATGTTGCTGCATCACTGCAGTTAGCTAGAATGTTTTAATCTCACCAGTTGCTCCAAAGGTTTGCCATAAGGTGGTTTTTACCGCACTGTTAGCCAAGGTGGCAAATTGAATTGGGCTCTGTGTTTTAGAGAAATCTGTAGGCTTTTCCCCAATACCAGAAGATCAGAGAGTTGTGAGAGAAAGAATCAAGGAAGGAAGAGGAATGTATCTAATCAATAAACCATTCATTGTTTTCTCTGCTACATATTTGAGACTGATCCCTTACATTGTAGAACATTTTTACCTTGAAAAATTTTACCTCTTTACATCTTTCATACAATGGAATCTCTGTGTAGTGTATATGCTAATTTATTCCTATCTTTTATGTGCTTTGGTAAAGTTTTATAATTATGGGAAGCACAGTTCTATCTCAAAGTTTTTGTCCATTGTAGTTTCTGGATGTTAGTTTAATGATTTAAGCATTATCGCCTCACCAGTTTGCTAGATTTTTCTTTCTTTCTTTTGCCTGTTTTTATTCATTTTTACTATTACATTGGCTTAAATTACCACTTCTCAATCTTCTAAGGAAAATTTGAGACTAGTGGTTTTACAACTCAAGATACCCTTTAAAATTCTGGAACTTCTTAAGTTGACATTTTAATTTTTTTAAATTAAATTCTGTAGTGCTCTTACAGAACTGAATATTCTTAATGTAAGTATAAGTGTTACAATTCCTTGTAGAATAATGATTATCATTGATGTGAAAGTTAAAATTGTGTTTTGTTGACTTACATGTCTTCAAATTGCCCTAAAATGAATATAAAAATTGATATGGGAGCTTTTAGTACAATTGACTGCTTTCACATGGCCTGATACCCAGTGACCTTTCTCTCAAATATCTATTTCTCATTCTTAGAAACAAAGATGTTTGTGGTATACACTTCTGAGTTTAGTTATCTGCTTTTGAATTTTTTTCCACTGCAATTCACATAGTGTGAAGATCTGTGAAAATGCTATGGGAGAACCAGCTTGGGTTCAAAATATCTTTAACCACATGTACCCCCTAGGCTTCCCAAGAGTGAGTGACTGCCCAGTTTGTGACTGTAGAAGAAGTTGGTTGGGTGTTTTCTGAGCCCTGGAAATTTAAAGTGTCTATAATGTTATCCATCATTACTTACTTTGCTGTCACAAGTGTTGGCAGATGAAAGGTTTGCTCCCTGTTACGTTTTCAGAGTTGCTGTGAGTGGCAGAGCTTCACCTTAAGTGAAGGAAGAGGGGCTGGAAGTTCTGAAAACAGGACACCTAAGGCCTGTCTCCATCTGCCTGCCTAAAAGATGCAGACTGACTCAGTATGAGAAATAACAAATAGAGGAACTCATATAAGTGTGTGGGCAAGGGTTGATCACACTTTTCTTTCCGTAGGGCAGATGATAGGTGCTTTTTGTTCTTGTTTAATTATCTTGATGAATTTTGAGTTTGTTTTTGTTTTGTTGTTGTTTTGGATTTGAGAGTAACTTTAATTTTAATGTATATTTATGCTGTATATTTCAAACCTATTTCATATGTATACATGTATAGTCTTCATATTGGAGAAATAGAAATGATTTTGTAATTCATTATAATCTTGAGGGGTTTTTTTTAATCAATAAAATGGCTACTCTTGCTGTGTTTTTAAAGTTTTTAAGTTTAGACATATATCATGTTTAACTTTTTCCCCGTTTTATCTTTACCTCTTTGTTCTCTACATGCCGTGCTTTAATCCCTTCTGCTCTGTTTACCTGAACACCTGGTTTCTGCCATCTTCTTTGTGTCGATGTTTATTACACAGTACCACAAAACCTGCTCCACACCTGGATGGGTAAGAGTTACGTTCTTAATACCTTGAGGAGGTGTTTGGGTGGCCAATCCAAGACAGATTGGACCATGAGTGAACCCTCAAGGGGCGCTCTTGATCTCTGAGTTAATCTCTCATAGCCAAGGGGGCTTTACCTGGGCTTATGGATGGACTTCTCAGCTATGCTCTCTTGAGTGACCCTCTAAGGACAGTTTCTGAGTATCAAGTAAAATCTGATTGTTATCAGACTCTTTACCGTAAAATAAAATAGTTAAGAACCATTGTTTTAAAGGCAGAAACTAAGGCCCAGTTTGAGTAACTGTTTTTTTCATTTTATTAAGCAGATTTCAAGTTCCAATTCCCTTCTAGTGGCTTCATACATCAAACACTTTGCTTTTATTTTCAGGTCTATGGACATGGTCATTTATAACAGTTGTCTTGATTATTGCTTATGGCTTAATTATCATCAAACCAATTCTTTCTTGAATTTGTATTGTGACAGGGTCCATGTTGTCTTTGGACTAGTTATTTCTGGTTTTGAAGTAATTGAACAAATTGAAAATCTGAAAACTGATGCTGCAAGCAGGCCTTATGCAGATGTGCGAGTTATTGACTGTGGGGTGCTTGCCACGAAATCAACAAAAGATGGTAAGAGTTTTTGGGGGTAGAGGGAGCTAGGATACAGCTAACGCATGTGGAAGACTATAACTTAAAGGTACCTTCTGGATTTCAGTAGTGGAAAAAACTCATAGAAGTAGTATAACAATAGCCATCATGCCTCTATATTATACCCTATATCCAATCCATCAGCAGTTCTTAGCAAATCTTACCTCTTCTTTTTATTTTCCCTGCTATCAGCATGGTCCAAAGCACCAGTATCCCTTACCTGGATTGTTGCAATAGCCTCAGACTGTTCACTTTGCCTCTGTCCTTGCTCCTCTATAATCTTTTCTCAGCAACAGTAGTGGCCTAACTGGTCTACTTGCTTATACTCTTGGCCCTCTACAGTCTGTCGTTAACAGCAACCAGAGTGATCTTTTCCAAGGGCTTCCTTCTCAGTCAGACAAAGCTAAAGTCTTTACAGTGGTCTATAAGGCAGTCTGGCTGTCTGCTGTTTCTCTGACCTCTTCTCCCTCATTCATTGTCTTCCCAGCCATGTTGACCTTTACTCAGACATGCAAAGTGCAGGAACTCAGAGACTTTGTGCTGACTGTTCCCTCTATCTGGAACACTCTTCATTCAGATATCGACATGACCCCATCCCTTACTTCCTTCAGGTTTCTGCTCAGATGTTATTTTAAATTACCCCCAACTCTCCCTATTCCCTTTACCCTGCTTTTTTGTTTTTTTCTCTTTTAGCTTTATTATTTGTTAAATTATGAAGTTACTTACTTATTTTCTTATCTGACCCAGCTAGAATATAGACTTCATGAGGGCAAGGGCTTTGTTACCTTACAATCTCACCAGCAGGTTGTATTATCAACTTGAAGAAAAGTTTATTTAAATTTCGTTTTTAGTTTGCTATCTGTAAAGCATGTTTTATGATACTCGGTAATCACATTTTTTACTCTGAAAGGTAGGCGTTGAAATCCAGTACTAATATTTTTGTTAATATTTCTTAAAAGTTTTTGAGAAAAAAAGGAAGAAACCAACTCATTCAGAAGACTCGGATTCATCTTCCAATTCCTCTTCCTCGTCTGAATCATCTTCAGAAAGTGAAATTGAACACGAGAGAAGCAGAAGAAGGAAACATAAGAGGAGGCCAAAAGTTAAACATTCTAAAAAGAGACGAAAGGAAGCAAGCAGTTCAGAAGAGCCAAGGAATAAACATATAATGAGCCCAAAGGGGTAAGTGTGAAACACCAGGGTAGTCTTACCTAAAAAACAAAGACACAGTCTGGAATGGGGAAAGGATGTGTAATTCCGTAGACTTAGTGTTATTACCTATTGTTGAAAAAGGAAAGCATTTTTTGGACTTTAAATTGAAATTGGGAAATCTAGGGGTAGCATAGACATATCACATTAAAGATTTATGTGTTTGCAGGTGAAAATAATCCCTGAAACTCTTAAAAGAAAAAAGTTAAGATCATTTGACAATTTTCATATCAGAATTTTCGTACTGCAGCTTTTTCACTGGGTTGATGTTTTGTTCTCTTTGAAAATTGTGAGAAAAAAAAAAACACCTCACTTCTGAGTGAGATTTGTAAGTTATCAGTAGTTTTGCTATTTAATATTAAGTATTATATTATTATTATGAAATGCAAACATTATACATCTTAATTGATGACTTGGTTTGTTCTCTCTTAAGTCACTCTGAGAGGAGTGATACCAATGAAAAACGGGCAGTCGATTCAAATGCTAAAAGGGAAAAGCCTGTGGTTCGCCCAGAAGAGATTCCTCCTGTGCCTGAGAACCGATTTTTACTGAGAAGAGATATGCCTCTTGTCACGGTGGAACCTGAACCGTAAGTAGGATGATTAGCCTGTATATTTTCATTCCTCCTCAGCTCATTGCAGTTCCACACTCATTTGTTGAACATGACCCATAGTCAAAGCACTTTGAAAGGTACTGTGAGAGATGCCAGAATGATGAATGACATGTACCCTACCTTTCAGAATTCACATTCTACTAGTAGGGAAAGGGGATTAGGCAGGTTGGTCAGGGGAGAAGTTCTTATTGGAGATCTTGAAAGATTTTATTACCAATCTTGTTTGCTTGGCTTTTTGTTAGATGTGAGATTTTGGTTGTCAGAGGATTAGTTGAACTTTTTGGATCCAATCAAGTGATAAAATGTGTTCCAATTTGAATAATGCAAAATTAATTACATGGTGTTTGGGAATATAATTTAGTGTCATAAACATATTACTGTTTTTAATGTGCTCAGTGATAATTTCTCTGTATTGGAAAAGCTAATGGGTAGCTTAGATTTGGTCTCAAAAAATAGTATTTAGTGTATTTTGTGTATTAGACTCAAGTTTAGAATTATTAAAAGAAATGTTGTATGAAGAGAAATACCATAATGTGGTTGATGTAATTGATAAGTTCCCTGTGAAGAGTTACACTGAAGGCTGAGAAGTTATGCAGATGTCCCCTGTTCACAATCAGGTCTCTACATAATGTTATCATTTAGTTCATTAAATATTTTTAAAGCCTGGTATTGTCTCATTTAAAAAGCTATTACGAAATGGGATGTATCTTTGAATTAATAGCTTAACATGCTGATGTTTTCATTTTTAAAAATTCTGGCTTGTAAATAAATGTTATTGGGACCCTTCTTTCTTAAAGTATAAGACACCAAGTTCATTGATTAAATCCATTTGGCTTTCAGAAGGTAGGAAACTTGAAAGGTCAATTTCAGTGTCATATGGCAGGGGTCAGCAAACTATGGTCTATGGGCCGAATTTGGCCTATTGCCTGTTTTTTGTACAGCCCATGAGCTAAAAATCGTTTTTATGTTTTTAAATGTTTGTGGAAAAAATCAAAAGACAAAAAATATTTTGTGACATGTGAAAATTATATGAAATTCAAATTTAAGTGTCCATAAACAAAGTCTCTTACTGGAACACAGCCACATCCGTTTGTTTGCTATTTTCTTGGGCTGTGTTTGTCCTACAATAGCAGAATCGAGTAGTCGCAACAGAGTTTGTATGTGGTGCTCCCATTCCTTTACACTGCTGCTTGGTGCACCAAACATCACAGTGATGCCGTTACAACTCGCCAGTATTTCAAGTGCTACATGTGTAACCCATCTACGTGGAAAGGTATTTTCAAAGATGAAATATGTAAAATCTCATTACAGATTAGCATTACCAGATGAATAGTATTAACATCATCTGTTTTGATAGGGAACCATTAACTGTGAGCCCTAATTAAGTGAAATGTTATCCCCACCAAAAAAGAATTCCAGTCCTCATTAGTAGATCGGAATTACAAAAAATGATACTCAGTTATTACATTTTGAATTTCATTGATAAAATATTTTTGAAAATTGGTTTTCTTTCTTGATATATAAGTACCTACATAATAGCCTTAATTTTGTTTTTGGCCTGCAAATCCTAAAATGCTTATTCTTGGACTCTTTACAGAAAAAGTTTGCCAACCTTTGTTATCTGGTATTGTTAAAGTAGTTTATACCACTGTCTTGCGTTTGTGATTGAATACTGCTGATGAGTTTATTTGGTCATCACTCTGCTTTGATCACATAACATCTTTGGAAGTTATTTTGTGCAGAATTATTTTAAATCATAATTGGGTGGTAATGTGTCATACAAAGATAGCAGATAAATTTATTTTATTAGGATCTTTGAGATTTTGATCAGTTGTTGGGAGCTAGAATTAAGTGTGCTTCAAGAACTCGACATATGCAAGGATAAGAAATAGCGACTGCCAGCTATAGTGAGCTTGTCATCTTACTGATTTACCAGCAGTTAAGCTTATTATCACTTATAATTTGCTTAGCAGAGGCTGGGTTCCACACTTGCTCTAGTTCATTTGTTCTCAACCTCAGGTACACTTTAGAATGATTTGGCAGGCTTTTAAAAATGCCAATTTCTGGGCCATACAGCAAATCAAATCACAATGTTGGAGGTAGGGAGGAGAGGAGGATGACAGCATTAGATCAAAAGGTTCCCTGGTGAACATTAATTCTTGCTGAACACCTGTAGTCAAATTATTTGGTGTTCAGTGCTTTTTTCTTCACGAGGAAAGTGGAATTAACAGCTGTCTATCAAGAGTACCTACTTATCTCATTGTGAGAATCAAGTGATGTCATGAATATGAAATGACTGAAAAAACCTTGTAGTTAAGATTTTCTTATAGTAACTTTGTATATTTATCTGGAGCTAGATTCCTGGAGCCTTAGAAAACCCTATATAATGGTTGTAAGAGGCAAATTTCATTTCTTTGACCTTGGGCAAGATTTTTAATCTTAAAATTCTTTATCTTTAAAATGAATATGAGGGCCGGCCCTGTGGCTTGGTGGTTAAGTGCGCGCACTGCGATGCTGGTGGCCCGGGTTCGGATCCCGGGTGCGCATCGAGGCACCACTTCTCCGTCCATCCTGAGGCCGAGTCCCACATACAGCAGCTAGAAGGATGTGCAGCTATGACATACAACTATCTACTGGGGCTTTGGGGGGAGAAAATAAAATAAATAAAATCTTTAAAAAAAAAAAAATGAATATGATAATAGTATCTACCTCATAGTGTTGTTATGAAAATTAAATGAGCTAATGCCTTTAAAATGTTTATTAACAACCAGCAATGAACAATCTGAAAAAGAAATTAAGAAAGCAATTTTATTTAAAATAACATCTAAAAGAATAAAATACTTAGGAATAAATTTAATCAAGGAGGCAGAAGACTTGTATGATGAAAACTACAAAATATTGCTGAAAGAAATTAAAGAAGACCTAAATAAATGGAAAGACATTTCATGTTCATGAATTAGAAGACTTAATATTGTTAAGATGTTAGTACTACTCAAAGTGAGCTATGGATTCAGTGCAATCCCTGTCAAATTCCAACAGCGTTTTTGCAGAAATGGAAAAGTCAGTATCCAAATTCATATGGAATTGCAAAGGACCCTGAATAGCCAAAACAATCTTGAAACATAAGGACAAAGTTGGAGAACTCATACTTCCTGATTTTAAAACTTACTACAAAGCTACAGTCATCAAAATAGTGCAGTACTAGCATAAGGACAGACATATAGACCAATGGAATAGAACTGAGAGTCCAGAAATAAACCCAGACATCTATGGCCAGTTGATTTTAGACAAGGGTGCAAAGTCCATTCAGTGGAGAAAGAATAGTCTAGTCTCTTCAATAAATATTGCTGGGACAACTGGATTTCAGCATGCAAAAGAATGAGGCTGGAACTCTACCTCACATCATACAGAAAAATTAACTCAAAATGAGTCAACGACCTAAATATGAGCTAAAACCATAAAACTCTTAGAAGAAAACATATGGGTAAATCTTCATGACCTTGGATTTGACAATGGATTCTTATATTTGACACCAAAAGCACAAGCAACAGCAACAAAAAGACAACTCAAAAAATGGGCAAAGTACTTGAATAGACATTTCTCCGAAGAAGATATACAAATAGCCAATAAGCACATGAAAAGATGCTTATCATTAGTCCTTAGGGAAATGCAAATCAAAACCACAATGAGATACCACTTCTCACCTACTAGGATAGCACTAATTTAAAACAAAAAACAAACTAGTGTTAGCAAGGATATGGAGAAATTGGAATCCTCATGCACTGCTGGTAGGAGTCGAAAATGATGCAGCCACTCTGGAAAACAGTTCGGTAGTTCCTCAAAAAGCTAAACGTAGATTTACCATGTAACCCAGCAATTCCACTCCTAGGTATATATCCAAAAGAACTGAAAATAGAGGCTCAGGGACCTGCCCGGTGGCACAGCAGTTAAGTGCGCACACTCCGCTTCCGCTGCCGAGGGTTTGCAGTTTCGGATCCCGGGTGCACACTGATGCACCGCTTGTCAAGCCATGTTGTGGCAGCGTCCCATATAAAGTAGAGGAAGATGGGCACAGATGTTAGCTCAGGGCTAATCTTCCTCACAAAAACAAAAAAGAAAAGAAAATAGAGGCTCAAACAGATAATTGTAAGCCAGTGTTCTTTGCAAAATTATTCACAATAGCAAAAAGGTGGAAACAACCCAAGTATCTACCAACAGATGAATAGATAAACAAAATATGGTGTATACATATAATGGAATGTTAGCCATAAGTTAGAGGTTACCAGAAGCTGAGGGAATGCGGGAGTAATGGAGAGATGTTGCTTAATGGGTAGAGTTTTGGTCTGGGGTGATGAAAAAGTTTTGGAAGGATTGTAGTGATGGTTGCACAACATTGTGAATATAATTAATGCCACTGAATTGTACACTTAAAAATGGTTTAAATGGCCAATTTTATGTTACATATATTTTACCCAATTAAAAAAGTATGTTAAAAATTCTTAAGGTAATGCCTGACAGGTAGTAAGTACTCAATAAAAGCTAGCCATTATGTTAATAATAACAGATACAAAACAAACTGAGGTATGAAAAGACTTGTCATGCATGGAGGACTGTAGGTGCCACAAAAACTATACTATTAGAATTACCCATAAGATAAGGCAGCAGATTCAGAGCATTGAAGGAGGGGCAGCTTATAGTAGAGTGGGGGAGATGAACTATTAAAAATATATAAAATAAAATTAAAAACTATTAAAAATACAATTAAGCATCAGAGTCAGGAATACCCCAGGATTCCCTTAGAACGTCACTGTTTGGACAAGAGACATCTGAAAAAGGGTTTTGTTTAAAAGTAGTAAAAAGTGCTTAAAAAGCTAGATACTAGTATTGTGTGTTTCTCCCCAGTTGGGTTACTTTTGTTTTTTTAAGTTTTGGCATTTAAAGTGTTGCTTAGAAAATTAGGTTATATGGAATTTTAAAATTTTCAATCTTTGGGGGCCGGCCCCGTGGCTTGGCGGTTGAGTGCGTGCTCTCCGCTGCCGGCGGCCCGGGTTCGGATCCCGGGTGCGCACCGAGGCACCGCTCCTCCGGCCATGCTGGGGCCGCGTCCCACATGCAGCAACTGGAAGGATGTGCAGCTATGGCAGACGGCTATGTACTGGGGCTTTGGGGGAAAAATAAATAAATAAAATCTTTAAAAAAAAAAAAATAAAAAAAAAATAAAATTTTCAATCTTCTTTTCCAGGAAGATTCCTGATGTTACACCCATCGTAAGTGATCAGAAACCATCTCTATCGAAGTCTGGACGGAAGATTAAAGGAAGGGGCACAATTGTATGTGTGTTAAAACTTTCATTTTTCAAATTACTTATCTAAGCAGTAAAATGTTTTTACCTATAGGCAAAATCCTAGCTTTAATTTTAGGTATAATCCAAATCTGTTCAGGGAGCTAGTTGTATTCTCCATAGTTACGAGAAGGTACTGCTGTTAGATCAGAGTTTACTATTGTGTTTGAATGGGTGAAGTATGAAATGAACATGTGAAACAGTCATTGAGTATGTTGAGAAATCTTAGTGTGTTGAATAATCTAGGCTCATGAATGTAGCCATGAGGACTTCAAAGTGGAAATCTCATGTGTGATTACAGGTGAATCTCAGCTTTTCCCATTTTTTTTTATAAAGTCTCTTATGTTTGACATAACTTCATACTATCCTTTTGGTACTTCAGTCATTACTGCCTTTGAATGGGCTCTGAGATTGGGTCTTATACCTAACTCTGTGCTATAGCAGACTGTAATTGAGAGGTATTTTAAAAATAGTTATTCATATATTCTTATCTTTGTCTTTAAAGCGCTATCACACACCTCCAAGATCCAGACCCTGTTCTGAGTCGGATGACGATGACAGCAGTGAAACTCCTCCTCACTGGAAAGAGGAAATGCAGAGGTTGAGAGCATATAGACCACCCAGTGGGGAAAAATGGAGCAAAGGAGATAAGTAAGAGCTTCGAGTATAAGCACAATCCTGTGTCTGCTATATTTTAAGTGTTAGGGGGATAGAGACTTACTTTTGGACTTTTCATTAAAGATTTACATTTAAAATTAGACTGTGACCAAAGAGAATACATTTGAGAATACTTGGCGAAAGTAGTGCTATTAACTAAGAGGGCTGATTGGCTTTGGGGTGCTTTTAAATCAAAATTCTATTTTCCCTAAAGAGACTATAAACCTACTGAAGCTCTTAAAGATTTCTTGTTCAATTTTAGAAATAATGACTTAAAAATTATATAGCAGATTCTTTCCTAGTCAGGTCTCTTAGTCACTGATGAATGAATTGGTAGATAGGAAAATCTGTGCCCAGGGTGTGCATTATTAACTTCTGGCGCAGGGACTGTTGCTTCTTCAGAAGTGTACCCATCCCTTACTCTCAGTGACACCCCACAGTGGAATATCTATTTTAGAAATGGGGCTGGCCCCAGAATAGCTAGTGAAAAATAGACCAATGGGGACCTTGTATAATTTTTCATGGTAGAATTCTCTTTTTCTCTGTGGGCATTCAGCAGAAGGTTTGAAATTAGAATAGGAAGGAAAAGGTATGCATCTGCTATGTAGAAGTGGTTTAGACACAGTGGTACTGAGAACTCTCAAGTTTGAGCGCTGACATTACCACTGAGATTGTGAAGCCTGCATCTATTTTCATGTACTCTTTCCTCAATTTCTATAGTAAGTAGTTTAACTAGTAGTTTAGGGGAAAGTCTTGATCTTCTCTGTGAGGCTGAGATAAAACAAGAGTCATGCTAGCTTCTTAAGAAAAAGAGGCTTTGGGCCGGCCCTGTGGCTTGGTGGTTAAGTGCGCGCGCTGCGATGCTGGTGGCCCGGGTTCGGATCCCGGGTGCGCATCGAGGCACCACTTCTCCGTTCATCCTGAGGCCGAGTCCCGCATACAGCAACTAGAAGGATGTGCAGCTACGACATACAACTATCCACTGGGGCTTTGGGGGGAAAAAATAAAATAAATAAAATCTTTAAAAAAAAAAAAAAGAAAAGAAAAAGAGGCTTCTCTTAAAGTTGAGGCAGCTGTCCTGTGTCTGCAGAGAATGAACAAAATTGTTTGGGAACTTGATTGGGAACAATCAAAAGTTGTTCCTGGAGGCATAGGGTTATGAGTGGATCACAGCCAGGAACTTGGTATGTCAGCAGTGCTCTGGTGATTAGTTGGTTTGGTTTTTCAAAACTGTCTTCCTATCAAATTTGAAATTCTTTGCTTTGCTTTGTAAAAACTCCTTTTGTAAGTGAATAGTAGTTGTCAGTATGTCTCTCTGAAATTAGAAGGTCGAGACCAGTCCTCTCACTCTTTGGTTTATCCTTCCTACATGTGCTAAAGTGTTGATGGAGTCAGTACTTCTTGATAACTAGGTTTTTGTCAATGCATTTGTATTGACAACAAATGTGTTTTAATTTTAAAGCATAGAAAACATGCTTAGTAAATAACTGCATGCATATTATGTCCTTTTCTGTAGGTTAAGTGACCCCTGTTCAAGCCGATGGGATGAAAGAAGCTTGTCCCAGAGATCCAGATCATGGTCCTATAATGGATATTATTCAGATCTTAGTACAGCAAGACACTCTGATGGTCACCATAAAAAACGCAGAAAAGAGAAAAAGGTTAAGCATAAAAAGAAAGCTAAAAAGCAGAAACATTGCAGAAGACACAAACAGACTAAGAAGAGAAGGATTATTGTACCATCTGACATAGAATTCTCAAAATCTTCCACCCGACGAATGAAATCTTCTTGTGATAGAGAAAGGAGATCTCGTTCTTCCTCGGTATCATCTCATCATTCATCAAAGAGGGACTGGTCTAAATCTGATAAGGATGAACAGAGCTCTTCAACCCATTCCAGCAGAGACTCATACAGATCAAAATCTCACTCACAGTCTTACTCTAGAGGAAGCTCAAGATCAAGAACTCCATCAAAATCCTCATCACATTCTCGAAGTAGATCAAAGTCCAGATCTAGTTCCAAGTTGGGGCACCAAAGGACAGCATCAAAATCACCAAGAAAAACTGCCTCTCAGTTAAGTGAAAATAAACCAGTTAAAACAGAACCTTTAAGAGCAACAGTGCCACAAAATGAAAACGTTGTAGTACAACCAGTGGTAGCAGAAAATATTCCTGTAATACCACTGAGTGACAGTCCCCCTCCTTCAAGGTGGAAGCCCGGACAGAAGCCCTGGAAGCCCTCTTATGAGCGAATTCAGGAAATGAAAGCTAAAACAACTCATTTGCTGCCCATCCAAAGCACTTATAGTTTAGCAAATATTAAAGAGACTGGTAGTTCATCATCCTACCATAAAAGAGAAAAAAATTCAGAAAGTGATCGGAGTGCTTATTCAAAATACAGTGATAGAAGTTCAGAAAGTTCACCAAGGTCAAGGAGCAGATCTTCTAGGAGTAGGTCTTATTCTAGATCATACACAAGGTCACGAAGTCTAGCTAGTTCACATTCAAGGTCCAGGTCTCCCTCATCCAGATCTCATTCACGAAATAAATATAGCGATCATTCACAGTGTAGTAGATCATCTTCATACTCTTCTCTTAGCAGTGATGATGCAAGACAAGCCAAGAGAAAATTTAGATCCAATGGGAAAAACAATAACGCTTCAAATAAAAGATACAGCAGCAGCTCTGAAAAGACACTTCGCAATAAATATGTCAAAGGCAGAAACAAGTCTTCATGTCAGAGAAAGTATAGCGAAAGCAGATCATCTTTAGATTATTCTTCAGACAGTGAACAGTCAAGTGTTCAGGTTACACAGTCAGCCCAGGAAAAAGAGAAGCAAGTCCAAATGGAAATGAATAATAAACAAGAGAAAAACAGAGATGAAGAGAAATCCAAGCCTGAATGGGAATGCCCTCGTTCAAAAAAAAGAACTTTGAAAGAAAATCTTTCTGAACACTTTAGAAATGGCAGTAAGCCCAAAAAGAAGAATTATGCTGGGAGTAAATGGGACTCGGAGTCAAATTCTGAACGAGATGTAACTAAAAGCAGTAAAAATAATTCCCGGCCATCTTCTGATAAGGAGGAAGGTGAGGCCACATCAGATTCTGAATCTGAGTGTGGTGAAATTCACATCAAAGCCAAACCCACAGCAAAATCTTCAGTGAATACTTCACTGCCTGATGGTCATGGGGCTTGGAAATCAAGCAAACAGCGGTCATCAACCTCTGATTCTGAGGGGTCCTATTCCAATTCAGAGAACACTAGAGGAAAGCCACGGAAGCACAAACATGGGTCAAAGGAAAATCTTAAAAGGGAACACACTAAAAAAGTGAAAGAGAAATTGAAAGGGAAAAAAGACAAAAAGCACAAGGCTCCAAAACGAAAACAGGCATTTCACTGGCAGCCTCCACTCGAATTTGGTGAAGATGAGGAGGAGGAAATTAATGAAAAGCAAGTTACTCAGGAAGCAAAAGAGAAAAAACAAGTTTCTGAAAACAGTGAAACCATAAAAGAAAATATTCCCAAAACGGAGAAGTCTTGTGAAGATGGCAACCTTTCGGGTAAACGTAATACAGTAACACTTCCATCAGATATTGATCAGCCTACTAAAGATGACAGTAAACTCGGCATTTCTCCCACAGCTTTAAATACTGAGGAAAATGTACCCAGTTCTCCCCAAAACATTCAGCATATTGAAGAAAGTGTCCCAAGCGGAGTGGAGGACGTGCTTCAAACAGATGATAACATGGAGATTTGCACACCTGATAGGAGTTCCCCAGCAAAGGTAGAGGGGGCCTCCCCTCTAGGAAATTCAAGGCTTGACACCCTGGATATAAACGTTCTAAAGCAGGATATATCAACAGAGCATCCTGAAGCAGAGGTCGTAAAACAGGAAAGCAGCATGTCGGAAAGCAAAATGATGGGTGAAGTGGGGAAACAGGACAGTCCCTCTGCTAGCTTGGCCAGTGCTGTAGAAAGCACTGTTGTGAAGAGGGAGGTGGCTGAGAAGAGCCAGATCAGCCTCATGGATAATAAATGGAAGCCCCTGCAAGGTGTGGGGAACCTGGCAGCACCGACTGCTGTCACATCCAGTGCTGTGGAAGTTAAGGCATTGAGTAGTGTGCCTGAAATGAAACCACAAGGCTTGAGAATAGAAATTAAAAGCAAAAATAAAGTTCGGCCTGGGTCTCTCTTTGATGAAGTAAGAAAGACAGCACGCTTAAACCGGAGGCCACGAAATCAGGAGAGTTCAAGTGATGAGCAGACACCTAGTCGAGATGGTAATAGCCAGTCCAGGAGTCAAAGTAGATCTCGAAGTAAATCTGAAACCAAATCAAGACACAGAACAAGGTCTGTCTCCTACAGTCACTCAAGAAGTCGTTCACGAAGTTCCACGTCATCTTATCGGTAAGCAACCTGTAAGCAACCTCTCTCTCCTTTTTTTCATTCAAGGAGAGTCTGTTACTGTTTAGCTTGGAAGAACATCAGAATTAGGGAGAAGATCATTATTTCCAAATATCTGGAAGAGAATAAAGAGAAGGCTTGGTGCTGTGTGATTCAGAGAGCAGATTGAGGACATAGGGAGTGGCGATTTCAGGGGAAGGAATTTGAGTTCAGTGTAAAAAACTTGCTATCAGTTAAGGTGCTCTGGCAGTAGAAATGAGTTGCCATGATAGGTGACAAGCTCATCTTTAAAGTTGTGAGGCTGCTCTCTCCCCTGTCAGTGATGCCTTAGAAGAGAATCTTGAATTTACAGAATATATAGCATGTAGAGATCGTTAATCTAACCCTCCATTTTACACAAGTGGAAGGTGAGGGCCAGAGAGGCAGAGTTACCTGCCCAAGACATGCATCTAGTTGATCTTTTTTCAAGGGGGGAAATGGTAAAAAACAGTCATCTTTAGATTTTTTTTTTTTGGTTCAGGTTGCATCTGACTTTTGTCATCAGCATAGACTGGATAGTGCAGAGAGTGAGAATTTTTAAAAACTAAAAGAATTGGTGATAGTGATATGAATTTAATAAGTAATTTGTATTCTTTTCTTTTCCTTGTAAATATTTCATGGTTTTACCTCAGTCTCTTAATTACTCATGTCTCTTATTATATTGTGCTTGATTTTCATCACTTGAACTTAAAATACAGTAAGAATCTTTGACTGTTTTTTCCCTTCTAGTTATGTATCAGTCTTTTTCTTCCCTTAACCAGATTTGTTTAAAAATAAGAACCAACACTTGCCATCTGTAATAACTGTCTCCCGTTTACTCCTCAGTTACTTGCAGTCTGTCTTCTGTGCCTTCCCTCCCCCATCTCACTACACTGACTAAGGTTTTCAGGGACTTCCACAGGGCCAGTGCCAGGGCTTGTTTTCACTCCTTCTGGAGGCCCTCTGCCAGCTCTCCTCATCCCTCTCAGACCATTCCATACTTGTGTTGTGGGATCCTCCTCCTCCTGCCCTGACTCCCAATAGGCCCAGAGAGCTGGTGAGTCTTGGCCTTTTCTCTCCAAGTTCATATTCCCACATGCACTTGCCTGTTGAGCTACTCTGGCCTCCTGTCTGCTCATCATCTGCCTTACCATTTACACTCAGACAGCTCTGAGCTGTTGGTGATGCTGGCCACTCATTTACTTTCCTACCACTGCCTTTGGAGTGCGTGGTATTTCGTTTTGTAAATGCAGACAGGCATAGAAAGGCTAAGAAATTTGCTCTAAGTTAGGCAGCTCATGGGTAGTAAGCTGAGATAGCTAAACTTGCTCTCTCTGCTTTGTTTATCCGCCTGGGCCTGGCTTCCCTACTAGGCTGCGAACTCATTGAATTCAGGGACTGTTTCCTACTCATCTTTCAGTCACCTCACAGAGTCTGCTCTATAATTGTTTGTTGAGTAAATGATTAGAATCTTATTAGAACATAATGTACTCATTCTCTTGCAGATAAACTGGAAGCTGATCATGTCTTCCAAAACATAAGTACATGCTGAATAAAACCTATGAAGATATTACATAAGTAGCCTATACATAGGGGTATTGTTCTGTTCCTGAATGACAGGTATAAAGTAGGGGGAGAAGGGTGGGGAGCAAGTGAATGCAGAGGGGCAGGATTGCGTTACTTGAGTTTGTTTTATTAAATATTAAATAGAAAAAATAAATGATTAAGCAGAAAAAAAGAATAAAAAATGTCTCTAGCTTCAAAAATAAAGCTTTGGCATACCTGATGTACCCCTACCCAGTGCCACCCTACTTTCTCTGTTCTCTCCTAGAGTTAAACATTATTCTCAACTTTTGTTTTAATTTTGTTTTTATTTATAGTTTTACCACAGATGGTTCTGTCCGTATATACTATTGTTTTTATGTATATACATTTATATAGATAGATGTTCTGCATTTGCCTGTTTGACTGAACATTATATTCCGAAGAGATACCTGTTGATACATGAAGCTGGAGTTCATTCATTTTCCTACTTTAGAATATTTCAGTATATATCTGTATGTCAATGTTTTTTTAACCCATTCTACTGTTAATGGAGATTCAGATTATTTCCTCTTCTGGTGTTACAAATAGGGCTCCTATGATCATACCTGTACCAGCCTTTTCTGGTTTTTCTTTATTTCATTCTGTTCAATTTAAACCCTCCTTCGCTGTCAATGTCATACTCACCATGAGGAGTTCATGAATGACCTTTCCAAAGACCTTTCCTCTTGTGTTTTCCCCATCCTGCCCTAGTAGTAATTAATTTTAACAGCATGGTAAGTTAATATATTTCTATTTTTTCCACTTTAAATTGTAGATCAAGAAGCTACTCTAGAAGTCGGAGCAGAGGATGGTACAGCAGAGGCCACACCAGAAGCCGGAGCAGTTCCTACCGCAGTTACAAAAGTCATAGGTGAGCTTGTGAATTCTGCCCTCCTATGTGGTCTCCATCCTGTCTGCTTTTCAAGGCCTGCACAGGCAGAGTGGGGTAGCTGTAGAGAAGAATCCTATTACTAAATACCAGACAGGCCTATTTTCTCATCTAGTTCTTTCCTTTAGCTACCAGATTCTTACTGGCTATTCTCAGGATGGGATCTTATCAGGATGAGGAAAGAGAAGCAGTAGAAATATGTGAGAGACCCTGACCGCTACCTTCACCTCTCCTCCACCCTCAGTACATATTCCTTAATCTGAGTTCACATCTGCTGTCACCTGTTGACTTGGGGTAGAGATTAGGAGAGGAGGACTGTTAAAAGGGGACCAAAGGAAGAAGTGTGTGGGGGGTGGCCCCAGGTTTCTAATTCTCCCTCCTTCTTTGAACCCTCTTTTGCCTCTCAGGTATTTTCCACTGCTGCAGCTTCATTTTACTTAGAAGTGTCCTACCTGTGCAGACCTTTCCCCCTTCCCACCCTATTAGAGCCTCCCCAGTGACTTTCTTTATGCATACCTCATAGAAGAATTGCATAAAACTTAATCTTTCTTATGAAATCCAATATTTTTTTCTTTTTTTTAAATCCAACATACTTTTGATACGAAAACAAAATAAATATAGCTGCTGGATTTCATTGTGTTTTCTCCTTGGTGGGCAAATAAATGTCTAGATTTTTGATATAGCCTGTCCTGATCCACAAGATGATGGTCCTTCATGTGATTACTATTAGGACGTCCAGCAGGAGCAGATCCAGGAGCAGCTCGTATGATCCCCACAGTCGGTCCAGGTATGGACAGGGATTGGGTGACCACCTGCGGAGGCAGAATTGAAAGGCCTTGTATAAAACCCTTAATTCCCTTTTAACAAATGTATTTTATTGAAAAACTAAACACATGTATTTGTCTTATGAAATCATACCCTTTCTAATAAATGAGGTGTTTCTGACAGTTTTTATCTGTTGGCCCATTGTACTCTAGTGTCAAAAGTGACGATGTCAAATTGTAATGGCAGGTGTTTATTGAATATAATTGCCTAATAAGAGCCACCAGATTCGGTCAGACTAACTCGGTGTTAATTTTGTGATATTTTTCAATACAGAAAAGAAATTAACATTTTTCTGTTTAATATGGTATGTCTGATTTGGGGCAATTGTTAAATGTTTTCAGTATTTGTTATGCAAATGTGTCCTCACACTGTTATTTAATGCCCATGTTCTAAGAGAACACTCTTAAGATCCTAAAAAGAAATGGGAATATATGAGTATTTGAATGGGAAAATTTAGTGTTTGTCGTTGCTATTAAAGCAGGTCCTACACTTATGATAGCTACTATAGCAGGAGTCGGAGTCGAAGTAGAAGCCAGAGGAGTGACAGTTACCACCGAGGCAGAAGTTACAACAGGCGGTCCAGGTGGGTCTCCTTAGCGCACTGCAAGTTACTGTGGGCACTTGGTGTACAAGGTGACAGACCACTAGTAGAAGAGAAAGCATAGTCTTCTGAGGACAGAAATGCTTCTTTCTCTTCTTGAATTTCAGCAACCCACAGGCAGCTACTTAAAGTGACCTTTGTATTAAGAGTTGCTGGGAATGTTTGTTGGTTATTGTTAATGTTTGAATCTAAAATGGATTTTTAAATATTCACATATCCTTGGACAAACATTTCTTTTGGAAGGAGTAAAGAGAGAGGCCACTTCTTTGGCCTCTCCACCTACCAACTCTAGCTCAGGCTTTTCTGTCTTCTCTCCTTTAATGTGCTGGAACCTTTCCTTCTGCCTGGACAGACAAACGCCCACTCCGCCATCTCCCTTCCTGCCTCTTGAAGTGGCCAATTCCCACCTACTCTACAGGGCTCCACCGCCCCTGGGAAGCCCTCCCTGACTGCTGAGCCTGAGCTGTGCCGCCCGCACCCCAGCCCACTGCTGTGTGCCTTATTTGTTTTGCCCACTATTTTATACTATTCTTCAGTCCCAAGGAGCGGTATACTTGGTCTGCTTTGTGTGCGTGTCTCCAGCATCTAGCAAAGTGACTGGCTCTCAGTGAATATTTGTCAGAATAACTGAATGATGACCATAACCAGGTCCTCTTGACTTACTATCCCAGTGGTCCTGTCCATGCCCCGCCCTACGCTCACCCCTCATTGGGCCTCCATTTTTATTTCCTTATCTTTACTGAAACTCCTTCATGTACCTTTTTTCCTTTACTTCCTCTAATTAAATATTGATATTCATTTTGGGTAACATTATTCTGCTTATTTGCATGAGTGGATTTCAGGTAATTTCCCAAGATGTCATTTTTCTTTATTTTATCTTAACCTTAATATTACTACCAACTGTTATTTAAAACATCTTTGAGAAGTCCACAATGTTGCCACAGTCATTACCCCACTCGTCCACCCACTGTGCTATGCCACATCAGTATTGCTTTCAAGCCACTCATATCAAAGAAGCTGCTGCAAGAGGAATTCAGAGGGTTGACAGTTAAAAGGTGTTTGTATGTCTGTTTTGTTTTGTTTTGTTATGCAGGAGTTGTAGATCTTATGGCTCTGACAGTGAAAGTGACCGAAGTTACTCTCATCACCGGAGTCCCAGTGAAAGCAGCAGATATAGTTGAAAATGTCCCCTTTTTTGATACCAATTATCTCTTATTTGTAAATATCTGGTAACTTAAAAGTTTAAGAAACTTAATGGCAGTCTGTTGTTCTATTTCAATATTAGAGATGAATTTCAAAAATAGACACTTGTTAATTTTCATTTACATGTGTGTAGAATTTAAAATACAGATATGTCTCCTAAAAATATTTTTATGCCACATTTTACAGTAGCCAACTACAGAAATGAATTTCATTTTCTTGAATCAAGAAATCATGAAATATAATTTGCAATATTATTTTAGATAGACTATTTCTCTCCATCTCATGTATTCCTTAGAATACAGATTCTTTTCACCCATTTTTCAGGTTTTAGCATATATGCTGCCAAGTGTAGAACTGTGGAGAACTGTTAAAGGTGGCCAAATATTTATATACCAATTACACAGAGTCTTATACATATGTGCTCTTAAAAAGAAACCACCCAGTATTGATACTGATGGTAGCCAGGAATAGAGGCAGTGACTCTGGGTTCTTAACTCATTCCTTACTTCTGTGTTGTCTCAGAGGATCAGGAAGGTGGTCATCAGACAGCCCACTGTCTGTATTACTGCAGTGGCGGGTATGGTTAAGAAGAATAAATCAGCCTTAACTATAAATACTGGAACTGTCTCTAAGGACTTAATGTTTTATGTGCTTTTTAATCAATGCTATCAGAAGTTTAGATTGTAAAAAACAATTCTACTCCAATTCATGCTTTGGTGCTTGGTACCTTTTGGTGCCTCTAAGCATTATTCTTATATATTATACATTAGAATCTCATGAGAGAGAGAGAGAAGATTGTTTTTTTTTAATTCATTGGCACCAAACATGATTCCTTCTGAGCTGTATTCCTTTTGGATATTTGGGGGTGTGGACTGGGGGTCCCCTGGAGCAAGCAGGATTGGCATAGAGGGTTGTATGGCCACTCAGGTCTACTGCACATAACTGATGTCTGTGCCTCTGAAACAGTGGATTGATGAATGGACTTCAGAAGTAACACCAAAGTCTAACTGCCAACATCATGGAGACATTTCGCAGGACTTTACTTTTAAGTCTTTTAAGTAAGAGATATACCACAACAGCAGTTGAAGTGTTCTAAGCACCAGCATGTTTTTCCTGTTTCCACTGTGACCTACACAGAGTCAATGAAGCCTTGCATGACATGAGTAAACCCAAGACAACAGACAGGGGAAGAGAGGTGTACGGCACTACATAAATTACACATTTTCACAGTTTTGGGTGGTTCCTCCAAAAATGATTTGACCTGTAAAAACTGATGTGATTATTTTTTTAATCTCTAGTTTGAGTTTTTTTTTCCCCAAGTGTACTTAATCACCTTAGTGCCAGTTTAATCCAGTTGTGCAGAAGAAATTCATATTGGATGTTTGATGTAGCACTCTGTGCCATCCTACCCCAGGCCTTGCCTGGTGTACTTGGGAAGTGGACAGGAGCCCTCATTTGGAGGGATCTGACAGCCCTTGATGGATGGAGGGGTGACCTTGGATGTATTAAAACCCTTGCCCATAAAAGGTTCATAAACAGGGTTAAATGGTCAGTTTGCCAAATTGATAGACGAGAGTACATGAGAAAACAGGATGTAAGTCAAACAAACATACTTGCTGGTGAATATGAAACAATGTGTGATTCAAATGAAGGGTTTTCAAAAGTTGCCTGCAAAGGAGAATATTGCTTTAAGAGTACTCAGTGGAAAAACTGCATTCAGAACCCAAACAGAAAGTGCCAAATCTAACTAGGTTAAGAAAATTACCCTTGGGCAATGTATTAGTTTTCTATTGCTGTTTAACAAATTAGCCCAAACTTAGCACCTTAAAACAACACCCATTTCTTAGCTCACAGTTCTGTAGCTCAGGAGTCCGGCACAGGATGGCTGGATTCTCTGCTCGGGGTCTCACAAGGCTAAAATCAAGGGTCAGCAGGGCAGCATTCCTTAATGGAGACTCTGGGCAAGATTCTGCTTCCTGGTTCATTCAGGTTGTTGGCAGTATTCAGTTCCTTGCTGGCTGTCAGCCGGGGGCCTCTCCCTCAGCTCGTTAGGGCTCCCCACATTCCTTCTGTGTGCTCCCTCCATCTTTGAACCAGCAATGGCGCATCGAGTCCTCTTCCTCGTGCTTCAAATCTCTCTGCCTTCTTCCTCTGTTTTAAGGTTCATGTGATTAGATCAAGCCTGCTCAGATGATAGCCTGCCTATTTGAAGGTCAACTGTGCCATAGAACATAACATAACCACAGGAGTGGTATCATAGTCACAGGTTCCTGGGATTGGGGCCTGGAGTGGGGGAGGGGCATGTTAGAATTCTGCCTACCACAGGCAAGAAGTGCCCAATGCTGCTGTGGGTGGAATTTTATCCTAAAAAGGTGGGCCCTAGAAGCCTCCTTTCTTTTCTCCATGGAAAAGAACAGCCCTCAGCTGCAGCATTCAACTTGTGTGTTTACTGAATGAACTACAGAAATAACTTTTCTTCCGAAAGGGGATTGTTCTGTATTTTAAGTTATTTTTTAATAAAATTGAATTATGTTGTGAATTGTGCTTCTTAATAGAAAATGCATTATTGGACTGTTTTTGTAACGTCCTTTACTGCAAATGAAACAAATGATATAGCTGGTATCGTTCAAAAACTGTAGAAAATACTTTTGTAAATATTGACAATGTGTAATTTGTATACACTTCATTTAAATTGCCCTAAAACTTGCAAAGGGGACCTTGTAGAAATTAAAATATATTCTTAGTCTAAGTCTGAGTCTGTGCATGTTTCGTCTTGCTTTACTCATCCAGACTTCAAATAGTCTTTCTGAAATGCATACGAAAACACTGAGTCTCTTTGCTGACCCAGCCAGTGAAGAGACTTCATCTCTGCAGCTCATCTTTGTCTTCTAGCTGAGTATTAGTGGTGGGGCACGAGGTGGAGCTGGAGAGAACTCAGGCAGAGATGCTCACCTAGCCAGAAAAGCAGTGATGGTGCTGGTCTTCCTGCCCCTGCAAACCCGATTTCCTCCAGGCGTTGTTGCTGTCATCTGGCTGAGGTGACCTGCATACAGATGTCTTTGCTGAGGAAGGACTATGTCCCTTCCATCTGTGACTTGCTGCCGAGGGACAGCATATTACCTGCAAAACCACCTCCAACTTTCACACTGCCTTCCCCAACAGCGGTTCACTAGGCAGGCGCAGAGCACTCACTCTGGGAGAAAACATTCATGCTGATATTTTTAGCATCCACATGAGAATTTGCAAGGCAAGTACAAGTAACTTTTTTCTCCTCAGAACTCAAAGAAATTTGTATTTTCTTAGTGAATACTACATAATCTCTCACAGTAAGACTTATAGAGAGATTCAGTTTTCAAAATTGAGTTAACAGTAGATCCCTTAAGTCAGGTAATTCCTGAAAATAGTCAAATCTGGATGCATTGCTTTAAAATTTAAAGATAATTGCAGTCTGTTTGCTGTAGGGAAATCCCCAAGTGAACTTCCTTTAGGGTCTTATTTTTTAATGTGCTCCATTTTTTTCATTCTGATAGTGATAATCTTGATCAGCTAGGCAGTATTGGGAAATGTGTCAAGAGCTTTGGTCCTGACTTCTGAATTAGCTGGGCATCAAATAGGAGGTAAGAGAATTCAAGAAAATGCTGCTCTCATGAGCGACCATGAGCACTGAGCAGGCATCACTGTTTGTTGGGAAGGGAAAAGAGGCTCCACTCAGTGTAGAGAGAGAAGACTTGCACACTAGTGATGCAAACTGTGTGGCCAGGTGAGGGACCTGGAAGCCATACCTCACAAATTGGGAGAGCCTGGGCTCAGATGGCTGGTTTTTAGGAGAGGGAATCAACTCCACTGCTGCTCACAGTGGGAAGTGAGCCTGAGTCCCATGAGGGAGTGGTAATAGAAGGAGCTGGGAAGAGTGCCAAGAGGACTTGCCCGGCAGGGAGAAGTGCTTTGATGCCATAAAGGTGGTAGCGTCTCAGGAGTCGAGAGGGCAGGGTGAGGAGCTGGGTATCCTGGAGGACAGCACCTGCTTGCCTCAGGACAGACTGGGCAGCTCCAGTCAGCGCCTGATGAGTGTGAAGCAAGGAGAGCCTATTGCGGCATGCACACTACAGGGGCCGGAGGCTTTAGTGCTCTGTTTTCTTTAAAGGTTTCTGTAGAAGGTAGAGGCAATGCTCCATTGCCCCTGCTTCCTATGCTCCCTATGAATCAGAAGGCCTGGGGGGTAGGGGAGCTGTGCCAAGCTTGGGGCCAAGCACTTCTGCCTCTTGGAGACCCCAGACCCCCCATTCACCATCTATGGCCCATCAAGCTCTAGCTCCACAGACTGAGCTGAATACCATGGCCTGCAGGACCCAGGCCAGTCTGGGGAGAGTTGTGTCTCTTCAACCTGCCTAGAGTCCTGAGGACATCAGGGTAAAAAAGAGTGACCTGAGGTCTCAGGACAGACACCTGCATTCTGCATCTGGAGGCCTGACCCTGGGTCTCTGACTGCTCATCTGTTATATGATGTTAACGATCCTTAGACTGCCCTTCTCTCAGCTTGTAAGCTGCGAAAGAGGGTGCATAAACTGCAACCAGACGTGAGAACCAGGGGTGCTCATCCCCCCCCTTCTCGGACCAGCCTGGAGATAAGTCGGCCTCCCAGAGGGCCCACAAAGGATAGGCCTTCGGGCTGGCACTTCCCAGCCCTAGGTCACCCAGGGCCTCCTGCAACTAAAAGCTCTGCCACCAGGCCAGGTTCCCAGAGAAAGGCTGAGAAGGATCCCACTGGCCTCAATGTCTCTGGCTTAATTTGATCTTATTTTGAAGAAATAAAAGACTTCCATGAGCAACTATTCTATGGCACAATCCTTAAGGGTTTTGGGCCAGAGCCAGACTGCCTGGGTTCAAGTTCTGCTCTGCCACTTCCTAGTTGGGTAATTTTAGATAAATTGCTTTACCTTTATAATTCAGCTCCTCATCTGAAACACCGGGATACTAAGGACTCCTCCCTCTTAGAAGTGGTGAGGATTAAATGCTTAGAACCAAGCATACATCGGTGGTTCAGGGCCCCTGGCCCCTGGGCTCGCCTCCAGGAGGAGAGTAGGAATCCCACAGGCTTCACGTGGAGGTCCAGGCTCCCTTCACCCAACAGGGTGGGAGAGGATTCTGGAAGCTGCTAGGGAGGCCTTGAATCCAAGGCCTGATGTTTATGCTGCGGGAGGGAAGTGGGCAACCTGCTGGTTTGAATTAGGCCCCACCCCCCCAAGCAGCTGTAGCCTATTAGCACCAAGCTCAGGGGAGGCAGAACACAGGAGCAACCCCCGCCCCCAACCCCATGCCCAGAGATCTATGCTCCCCAACCCTGAGGGCCCTGGGTCAGCACCTAGTGGGTAGCTTAAACTTCCCTGCCACCCCATCGACCCCATGGTGTGTTTCCCTAAAGGGGCCAGCAGCCCTACCTTGGTCCCGCTGGTCACACCCCCTGCCAAGCCTTTGCTGGGAAGTGGGCCCAGAAGTGTCCCTGCAGTCCTCTCTGCCAGGCTCCTCCCAGCCTCCCCTTTTCGCTGCGCCTGACGCTGCTGCCTGGCTGCTCTGGGCCTCACTGTCCTTATCCAACCAATGGGTACGCAGTCCTTATCTTGCCACCTCCCAGGCCGGTGCAAGGATCCACTTTGCAGATGAGGAAGTGGGTTGGGACGGAGGAAGAGGCAGACAGCAGCCCTGAGGTGACCGGCTGGTCAGGCATGTAGGCTGCTCTGGCCTGGCCTCAGCCTGAGGCCTCTGGGAGCTGAGCCAGCTGTCTATGCAGCCACCATGGCACAGAAGTGCAGGATGTCTGCATTGGCCATCTCTGGGGGCATGTCCCCATCTGTGCTCCCTCCTCTCTTCCCATCTCTTTTTCCACTAGGGTCTCTCGTCACCTTCCATCTGGCCTTGTGCATTCTTCCCCTTCCTCCTGGCACTCTTTGGTCATCCCCAGCTTTGCCCCTGAGATGTTTTCTCCTCGGCTCTGGGATGGTGTCATCTCAGGGGCCTCGGCATCCTGGTCTCAGGGGAGGCCCTTGCAATCTTACAGGACAGACCATCAGACTATATGATGGTGCCTGCCTGGGATCTCGGCCTCCGCTCCCTTTCCTCCCCTGACACCCAGAGCCAAGCCACTCTGAACAGGCCCCAGCGTCCCTGCCCCCTCAAGAGTAAGGTGGCATACCCAGGTGATACTGCTACTGCCGGGCCTGGGCTGGTGTGTAAGCACGAGCACACGTGTGTGGGGAGGGTGGGGGTACTGTGCAGTACTGCTGGGACGGGGGCCATGTAAGAGTGATCAAAGATGGGGCAGCAGTCAGCTGGGGGTGGGGTGGGGGGGCACAGAAAGGCATCTGAATGATGACATGGGCCACATGAGAAGCCCACAGGAGCCCCCTCTCCACAATGGTGGCCCAGCCACCACCTGGGCCCTGCCAGGCCCAGCGTCCTGTGGTCCCCACCCTGCTGCTTGCTCAGCCTGGCAGTGTTCCTTTGCAGCCTCCTGCCAGCACAGCCAGCCCCCTGCCCCCACTGGTGTCCATGCCAGAGCAGCATTCCGCAGGCGTGGCTGCCTCTCCCCAGCAGAGACTGAGCAGGGAGGCTGCTCAGCAGTGGGCAGGTCACACGGCTGAGGGACACAGTGGGGCCTGGGCCTCTGGCCCCCACTCCTCTAGTCTCGCCTTTTCCTGGCCCTGGGCCAGTCACCTTAAAGGATTTGATCACTGCAGCTGAGGTCCGGGTGCTTGCACCTCCTGCCCTGGGCGGCCCTGTGCAGCCAAAGGAGGCCACCAGCTATGCGTCGACCAGAGCCAAGTCCTGGAGGCATAGAGCAAAATGAGCCGTGGGCTGCCCTGAGGTAGCGGTGGGGAGCCGGGCTAGTTGGAGATCCCAGACTCACCCTCAGGTAAGAACAGCCCAGGCCAGAGGGTGGGGTGGTGAGCGCGGCTAGGGTACGGGGTTCGGTCCCTCAGCGTGGGGTCGCTCAGGGGAGCAGGTGGAAGCCTTTTCTGCAGCTGGTTGGGAGGCAGGCGCGTCCAGCTTCCCGATTTCAAGGCCGCACTCTACTCCGACTCCGCCTCTGTGGCGCAGCTGGAGGGCTCCGAGGTTAGACTCCTGGACGAACTTCCTGGCGGGAAAGGGGCTCAGCGCGGGAGAGTGAGGCCGGGGTCCATCTGCTAGGGTGGGAGCAGTGGGCCCCGGCTGGGAGCCCCGGCGGCCCGAGGCAGAGCAGGCTCCACCGGGACGGCGCACGCCACGCGTGTCCGCGCCCCCCGCCGGCACGCAGGGCGGCCTGGCCCTTTAAGCGGCCAGACGGCGGCCCCAGCTGACGCGAGGGCTCCAAT